TACTTCCCATATACTGCGAACAAAATTTTCCCTTTGTGTTACTTTCTTGTTGCCTCCCATAATCTTTATTTTAGGATTTATTTACAATTTAGAAACAACCATTAGCTACTTTAGTCTTTACGGCATTAACTCTTAAACCATATATACAGTGTACGTACAGGTATTTCGCCCTTTTCCACCGATTGGTCACCGAGGAATTTTTCAACAGTTGGAGAACAAACACGGTTTCTTCATTGTATAGATGACGGGCACTGAGCATCAAAATTTATTGGAAAAAATACAAAATAAGAAAATAACAAGTCCACCACCTGATTGTTAGTTTATTCCTAAAGTATTAAAGAAGTTTTCTATTATTGTATATATTTTTCATTAGGTAGCTGGCTACCCCAAACCTTCTCTCCTGGACATGAACAAAACCCTTTAGAGTTACTGTAGTGTAGTGCACTTCAACCTGAGTTGGTTAATAAATTCTATCTTCGTGAGACCACATATTTTATTTTTCAAGACTAAATATTGTATTTTACAAAATTAATGAAAGAAACCAAGTGTCAGTAAAATTGTCCAAAAAGTTTAAGTCCTAGATAAGTAACCCCTTTTGATTACCTTTATGAAATCCAAGAGTCTGATTTTTTTTTTTTTCTAAATGGTGTTTTAGACCACTTATGAATATGAATCTCAATTAAATCATTATTACTTATGGGTGGGAAGCTGAATTACCTGTAGACCAATACCTGTAATATTTAAGGACAGTAGTTTGTGTTATCCAGCCGCCTAACAATAAATATCTACAGAAGAAAACTTATTAACACAGTACTAAAGTTTATCGGGTGATGGAACAGGTTTTTGTCCCTAGTTTTTTCAATAAACACAGATGCGGTCTGTCAGCCGCCCACTTCACAGGTGGCAATGTCATGTTGCGTGCAACAAGTGACAAGCACACTGCACAGCAACCAATCAATAACATGCAAACTTTTTACTGTATATGTATTATCATTTGCCCCCACAAACCCAATACTGTAACCTGATTTTTAAGATGATATTGTTATTAACATAGGAAAATAATTCATCATCATTGTCTACAGACAGAATAGCATTAAGTAAACTTCTATTAAATGGGCGTAAAATTAACGAGGGGTGCCTGCCTGAACTGCTGTACTAATATGAGGCCATTTCTCTAGAGAAGATTAATGGTGCCTCATGAAAGGGTGAAAATTAACCTCTAACATCGTGTTGTCAACTAAAATACATAATTATTTTAAAAAATAGGGCAACAATTTTGACAACTGTCAATCAGAATGTTGGTAATAATGTTGTCCGTACATGTCCTTGACTTGCCAACAGTGTGTAACAGAACAGACCATCGCCCGACTGACAAGTAAGTTGAAGATTAATGAAGAGGATATATAAAGAAAATAATAAAGACAAAAATAGCGGGATGTGAAAACGAGGAGCTCTGGCCCCCGGGTAGGTCCCCCCTCGGGCCTGATTCTGCCACCTGACAACATCTATCTTCACGGAAAGGTATTTTCCCCTGACACACATGGACGTACAGTACACATAGACGTATACACAAGCCCTCCCAGACGAGAATACATATACATAATCATCCCGTCACTGTCATTGGCGTCTTGTCGTCGACTCTTTTTACCTTTCTCCTTTGAAATAAAATTCCTGAGTTATTCGGTCTCCTCTTTCAGATTATTTTAACAAACAATACGCGCTCCACGACTCCCACTTTCCCCCCAGGTGAAGTCTCTCTCCCGCCTCCCCCCTCCACCCCCCCTCCCCCCGACTGCCAGCTTTGAGGGACCCACTAATCGTCCGCCCATTGTCTCCCCACCATCGCCTCCGTCTGTTGTAACAAAACCTCCCGCGAACGTCAATTTTCCCGCCATGTAAAGTGGTGGGCGGGTGGTTGTTGTCGTGCTCCCTCGGGCCCCCGGTGGCAAATGAGGAAACTGTCTTTTGTCGTCAGGTTTAGACTCTACTCTGACACAAAGGAGACGCAGCTTAAATAATTATGAGTTTAAAAAGAGTGAAAATAGACCACAACTGCACTGGCGGTAGGCGTTGATTACCCAAGCGGGAAGGAGGCGGTCGGCGTCATTAAATGGTAGAAAATTAGGAATATGTCTCGAGGGAATACTCGTTCATTCTTGATGGCTTACAATCATGTGCTGCTGCTAGTGCTGGTGTGCTGCTGATGATGGTGGTGCTGTTGCTGCTGGTGGTGCTGTTGCTGCTAGTGCTGGTGTGCTGTTGCTGCTAGTGCTAACCTAACCTAACCTCGGCCCGGACAGACGTGAGAAGGGTAATAACTAGTGACCCTACCAAATATCACAGATTTCCCGCGGGGTCTCCGTTTTCCCCCTGTACTAACACTGGATAGTTTTCTTCTATAGACCTTGGATAGACCAACCGCCCGAACGGCTAGTAAGTTGATAATTGCCGAAAATTATATAAAAAAAATCTGAGCCGACTCCCTCTTCGCTACACTATCAGTGACCCGGCGACCTTGACCCAACGCCTACAATTTTAAATTACGGTGTATCGTTTTGTTCTTTTTGCAGATAGAGCAAGACTTATACCCACGTGGAGCCGATATGCATTCTAATGCAGGGGCGGATCCAGGAATATCAAGGGGGGGGGTCCAAGAAGTTGTGGGTGGGGAAACATTGCGAGCGCAGCGAGTCCACCCAGCTGGGGGACACTGTAAGCCCCCATCCCCCGAAGATTTTTTTGAAATCTGACCAATATCATGGGCATTCTGAGGCCAATTTGAAGCCATGCGCACTTGATATTAGGAGGTATGTACTGGCAACATTATTACCAACATTCTGGATGACAGTTGTCAAAATTGTTGATATTTTTTTTTAATTAATTATGCATTTCAGTTGACAACGCGATGTCAGAGAAGTGCGTGGTTATAGCAGCAGCCGCATTGCCGTCGTCATTGGTTTTTTTTTTTTGTTGCCATTAATCACCACACACGGCTTACGGTCGTAAATAAAGCCTCCAATCCATGCCAGGACTTTCCCACGAATTCTAGGAGGTTAATTTTCAGTCTTTCGTGAGGTACACCATCAAATGAATAGGCAAACTAGAGAGATATATTGACGATATTACCCCCACATTCCAGGATCCGTGTCCAAACATTTGACACCACCAGCAGCTACGTCAAGTAGGAACGTCAGTCCATAAAACCATAGATGTGTGTTCATTACGGAAAAAAATATTACTGCGAAAAACTTATTCTTCACCATTTTTCTAGGGAGGGGGGATTGCATCTATCTTCTACATGAAAATATCCTGAAGTTACTGGATAAAGCACGATATCGTCTTAATCTTTACCCATCCCTTAAATCAGTCCCTAATACTACAGTAGGATCATGTTTCCCCTGACATTTTTGTGAACTTGTGGCTTCTTCGACCTCGGAGGTGTTTGTAGACTTCTATTAATTCAACCCTTACCCGCCTATAGTATAAGCTGGGCAACTGTAGGCGTTCCAATCTCTAGGTAACTGAGATGCCTTAGTAAGGGCACCTGTCTGGTGGCCCTCCTTTGAACATTTTTAATCGACTGGCTTCTTAGATTAGATCTGTAGGGTTAGAAACTTAAGGTATTCGCGTCTTGTCCATGAAATAATTCAACACACTGCAGCTTACTTTTGGTAGTTATCGGCAAATAACTGCAGCTGCCATTCAGCCCTTGCCAATTAAAGCCGGATAAAAACAATGCTTTGCAGAAAACAAACGATGACATAGTTATGGGATATGTCTACTGAGCAGCAGTTACACATTTTATTATTTCGATTTTGGTTATCAGGGCCTAAAACTGCTGGCGGCCCTGTAAACACTTTTTAGTTTATTTGTGTAACAATTTATCAGATATTTCCTGTTGTTACTAACTTCATATATATAATAATCCATTCCATTTGTATGAGAAAAATTGCCGTCAATTTGGATTATTTATTCAGGATCGTTAAGAAAAGGGTAGAACCTCCTCGGGATCCACGTCTGATTTCTTATTTACTCAATTATTTTTGGTTTAAAAATATTGTATACCATTTCTATCACTTATTATCTTACTGGCCATTCGGAAGGCTGGTCTGTTTTTGTTACGACGATCACTGTCCAGCGCTAGTGAAGGAGGAAACCTGAAAAAATCTACCCTGTTTGGCTTCACCATAAAAAAAAAAAAAAACTAGACAACACTAAGGATTCTAACTGTAGAAGGATAGCCCTCTCTAATAATGGCCTAATGGAATTAGTGTGTTTGCCACTGACCAGTCGCTTGACGTCGCCACCGTCGTGTAGGATAAAAATTTTAATATTGAGTTTGAGTGGGTTATCCTTTTATAAACAGTACAGTGAATCCTAAATAACTTCTTATTGCTTTGAAGCAGTATAACATTTGGAGATGCTACACGGAAAGTTAAATTGTCATGCATTTATTTTCGAATGAAACGCGGAAGGGTGTGGCAGTATAGCAACTGCGTTTTATTGGAAAAAATAAATGCATGATATGATTTAACTTACCGTGTATCATCTCCAAGTGTTATACTGCTTTAAAGTAATAAGAAGTATATATTTTTTCATCTTTAACTTGGTGTTTGTATATTAGAGTATTTATTGTTCACATCAAGCTAAAAAGCACTACAGTAAGGTGTCGGTCCACCAATACGGCTAAGGTATCGAACTCTAAATCTATTGTAAGCTATAATGGAGTCAAATTTACAGTTAATAGCAATATCTTATGATGTCTCCATTAATAGTACACACTATAGTCCTCCTTTAAGTAAACAAAACTCACCTGTTCCCGTCATGGTCTTCGGGTGTCGTAGTCCTATCAGACCTGTGAAGGCTTCAACCCCAGTAAGGCAAGGTATCTATCACCACATCTTCCATCTAATACCATGGACTTAGTGGGCTATCAAAAAGTGTATTACATAGAAGTATATTGACTGAAAAAGAATAAGGCATGAATAACTATGGTAGTTAAAAAAGTTAATAGAGTAATAAACGGGGCTTGTCATGGTTGTCACGGTGATAGCCTCTGGGGGAACAGGTATAGCAGCACGGTAGACACCTCCACCCTGTTACAAGTGGAATATAGCATTTAATAGTAGTGTTTATAACTATTGACACCGTCAGTCTGAATAAGTGAAAAGCTTGTGTGGTGAGGATAAGTGACAATAATGCCGTACATGATTATTTCCTGTGAATTTAAGATGGTAAGTAATATGCCGTTTGGTGTCAAATTATGCCTAAAAGTCTTGGTAAAGGTAAGTGTTATTACCATGGGTTTATGTAGGCATTGGGTTAATATTTATTCAATGCTGCCTCTGATAATCAAGGTAGCTACTGAACTATTTGTGTTCCTGCATGGTCTATGTACTGTATATATACCATATGTTGGCTTTGTATGTATACTTACGTTGTTTATATACATGCCAAGGTCACTGTAAACTTGTATGATGATATTACTGAATGAATTTTACAGTGTCAGAGTAGCCAGGTACCTCAGCTAAGTGTATAATACAGTGTAGGTAATATTTTTTTGCTAATTCTAAACCTCACTGATGTCATTTTATATACTGTATTTTAATATACTGTACAGGTATTTTTACCAGGTAGTTTTCTTGTTCCTCTAATTCTTCTTCAGTTTAAAATAAATATAATTTGAAGTGAAGGTTAGATTAGGTTAGGTTAGGTTAGGTATGGCATAATTTCCACTAAGTTGTATTTTGTTAAAGATTACCAGAGACTTCTGGTATTATACTTGTGTTGCTGTTTGCTGTTGTTATTTTTAGTTTAGGTTGGTTCATTTTATGAATGAAAATTCTTAGACCATGGTGACCGACACTACCAGAAACTCGAGGTAATTACTAACATTGCAGGAGTACCAAACTGCTGTAACCTACTTGACTTAAAATAATAGTTACCTTAAAATATTCCGTTATCATGTTCTAAAAATTTTTAATTTTTATCAAAGGAACTGACAAACCTATCCTGAAACAAACATGGTGGAAAGAGCTTGGGTGTCATGGCTGTAGACTCACGATGGAAAAAAATCTTAACTACTTAATGCTATTCTGTCTATAGACAATGATGATGAATTATAATGTTAATAACAATATCATAATAATAAGCAGGTCACATTATTAGGTTTGTGGGGGCAAATGATAATACATATAAAAAGTTTGCATGTTATTGATTGGTTGCTGTGCAGTGTGCTTCTCACTTATTGCAAGCAACTTGACATTGCCACTTGTGAAGTGGGCGGCTGACAGACCGCATCTGTGTTTATGGAAAAAAAATAGGGACAAAAACCTGTTCCTTCACTCGATAAACTTTAGTACTGTGTTAATAAGTTTTCTTCTGTAGATATTTATTGTTAGGCGGCTGGATAACACAAACTATTTATTGTTAGGCAGCTGGATAACACAAACTACTGTCCTTAAATATTACAGGTATTGGTCTACGGGTAATTCAGCTTCCCACCCACATGTAGTAATTATTTAAATGAGATTAATGTTCATAAGTGGTCTAAAAAAACATTTAGAATACAAAAAACAATCACCCTTGGATTTCACAAAGGTATACAAAAGTTTTTTGTTTTTTTTTTACGGGAATTAGCCCACCCGGGCACAGGTCAAACGACCCACAACAGAGCCTGGGGGGAGAAAAAAAAAGGGGAAAAAAATTGTAAATATAGAAAAAAAAGGTTATACTGTATTAATCTACACCACGAAGATGCCGGAAAACCAGCTTTTTAAAGTGAGACAGATTGTAAGATCATGGAAACACAGAAGAAGGCAGAGAATTCCACAGTTTGGCTGTGTGAGGAAAGAAGGAGGTACTAAAACGGGTTATTCTCGTGTGACCGACATCCACAGAGAAACGGTGGGTACCGCGGGCAAGACGTGTGTTGCGAACCCACGGCCTTGCCGGCAGTACACAGGATGCCAAGTCCACCGAACATTGCCCGTTAAAGTACCTGTAAAAGAGAGAGTGAAGCAACATTGCGGCGAAGAGAAAGGGAAGAGAGATTGTCGACTAAAGGAGGAGAGTTAATAAGACGAAATGCCTTAGATTCCACCCTATGTAATAGTTGGACAGAAGAAGAGCCACCCCAGATATGAGAGCAGTACTCCAAGTTAGGACGAATGAATCCCTTATATACTTGGAGCAACTGCTCAGAAGTGAAGTAGCTACGGCATCTGTACAGCATTCCCAACTTTCGGGAGGCAGCTTTAGTTATACTAAGGATGTGTGATTTCCAGGACATATTGGAGGAAATGGTGAGGCCTAACATATTTATTTCAGAATTTGGGAGGATGATAGCGTCCTGAAATGCAATTGGTGGGATATCGTCTAATTTACAAAGTGTAATTGGTAAATATTGAGTTTTATTACTATTGAACTTAACCAAATTTGTACCTCCCCATTCAGAGATGCTGCACAGATCCGTGTTGATAGAAGTAATGATATCAGTTCTAGAAACAGATCTAGTTTGAGAGTTAGAAGGAAGGGGAAAATGTGAGGAAGAGTGAAGAGTAGAATCATCAGCATAAGAATGGATAGAATTAGTTGTAGTGTGAAGTAAATCATTGATAAAAAGAAGGAAGAGAGTTGGTGAAAGAACAGAACCCTGTGGGACGCCACTACTGGTAGAGAAAGAGCGAGAAATCGATCCCTCGACAACAACTGCCATGGGTCGGTTCTCAAGGAAGCTAGAGATGAGAAAACAAAGTGGGGGAGAGAAACCAAAAGAGGGAAGTTTAGTTAGCAAAGACTTGTGCCATACCCTGTCAAATTCTTTGGAAATGTCGAGAGCCATGACAAAAGTTTCCCCATAATTCCTAAGAGAGGGTGACCAAAGATGGGTGCAATAGGAGAGCAGATCACCAGTAGATCTCGCCTGGCGAAAGCCATACTGGTGATCCGACAAAAGAGAAAGGCATTCAAGGTGACGGAGAAAATGGGAGTTCAAGATAGTTTCGAAAATCTTAGAGAGGGATGAAGTTAGGGCAATGGGGCGATAGTTAGAGGGATTAGAATGGTCACCCTTCTTCGGGATGGGCTGAACCAAGGCATGCTTCCAAGAAGAAAGAAAAGTTTGGGTTTTGAGGCAAAGGCAAAAGAGGCGAGCAAGCACAGGGGCCAGGGCTTCAGCACACTCCCTCAGAACACGAGGGGGTATTCGGTCCGGTCCATGCGCCTTACTCACATCCAACCTGGATAACACACCAGCAACCCTGCGAGTGGAGATTATAGGAAAGTGCATAGGTTCAGTAGGAGGTGCAGGGGTAGGACTTAAACTTTTTGGACAATTTTACTGACACTTGATTTCTTTCATTAATTTTGTAAAATACAATATTTAGTCTTGAACAATAAAATATGTGGTCTCACGAAGATAGAATTTATTAACCAACTCAGGTTGAAGTGCACTACACTACAGTAACTCTAAAGGGTTTTGTTCATGTCCAGGAGAGAAGGTTTGGGGTAGCCAGCTACCTAATGAAAAATATATACAATAATAGAAAACTTTTTTAATACTTTAGGAATAAACTAACAATCAGGTGGTGGACTTGTTATTTTCTTATTTTGTATTTTTTCCTATCAATTATGATGCTCAGTGCCCGTCATCTATACAACGAAGAAACCGTGTTTGTTCTCCAACTGTTGAAAAATTCCTCGGTGACCAATCGGTGGAAAAGGGCGAAATACCTGTACGTACACTGTATATATGGTTTAAGAGTTAATGCCGTAAAGACTAAAGTAGCTAATGGTTGTTTCTAAATTGTAAATAAATCCTAAAATAAAGATTATGGGAGGCAACAAGAAAGTAACACAAAGGGAAAATTTTGTTCGCAGTATATGGGAAGTAATATTAGCCATGATGGTTGATGTACAGAAAAAAAATCAAAGCTAAAATAGGGCAAGCCAAAACAGCATTAAATAATCTGAAAGACCTAATAAAAATGGACATCAACTTCAATTTGAGAAAAAGGCTGTTGAAAGGTTTTATATGGCAAGGACTGTTGTATGGGTCAGAAACGTGGACTCTTTCTGCGGACACCAGAAAGAGGTTGGAGGCCTTTGAAATGTGGTGTTATAGGTGAATGCAAAGAATAAGCTACACTAACTGGAAAACAAATGAAGGAGTACTAAGATTAGCAAAAACTTTAAGAGAAATACATGAAATGTGCAAAACAGATAAAGAAAAATAAGATATTTTGGTCATATACTGTAATTAATGATGAGGGGATAATAACAAATACTAATGGGCAAAATTAAGGGTAGGAGGGCCAAGGGAAGGCATAGACTGGAATGGATGAATGAAATTAAAAACTGGGTCCCCAGATGTCCAAAACCTTGAAGGTTTGGTAAAAACAGCCTGAGAATGTTTTGAGTGGAGGACTGATTGAACCCAACCAGAACTACCCTTAGATGGTTAGATTGTATTTGTTTTCTCTCTCTCTCTCTCCATATATTCTTCCGTGTTTCACCAATCATTCTCATTACTTCCATGTTTCATAAGATATTCTTCCGTTTCCCAATTTCATCACATATTCTTCCCTTCTTTAATGTTTCTTTCGATACTCTCAAGTCCGTACCTCCCTTTTGTGTTTACTACACTTATCCATAACAACTCTTTCAGGAGACTGGCCCAACGTATGTGGGCGATGGGCTGTCAGATGCTGCCTTGATGGCTGAGCTCGAGGCAAAAATCATAAAAGATCCTGTGAAGAGCAACAGTATAAAGTGATTATCTCTTCAGTGTTGTATAGAACTTTTGTAGGATTCTTGTGGGAGTATTCACTCGCTACTGTATTGAGATTCTATAGGGACCCCCTTGACATATAGTCTCTATACTTGTCCACCTTATGAGGTTCATTGTAGGCTTTCATTTAGCCTTTAAGACATTAGATTCAGCTAGGCTGCAATGTACTATGGAGATAACTAAAAAAATACTTTATACTTTTTATGGCTTTAGGTTTTAAGACAACAGTACAGCTATCGTATAAGGAGACCGATTATCAGTTATACAGAATATAGTATATATTCTCTTATATAGTGCCCTGTATTTTCAGATACTCTACACAGTGGGCGCCACGTTGCGTCTTAAATTTTCTAGAAAAAAAAGGATGGCAAGTGATAACGTCAGCTGGAGTTGGGCAGAGCTGCATATGGACATTGTATTCAAAAGATTAAATTGTGTGATCAGAGCACATCACTGTTTATGTCTTTACACTGTAGGGACAGATTCATAAGCTCCATTGCTTATTGATATAGTGCTACTGCACTGTACTGTACTACGCATATATAGTAGAGTACATTGTCCAGGTTGATGGTAACTAAAAATGCAGGGTTTTAGGCTTCCAGGGTCTACTGTAGGTAGATGTAAGGAATAAGTATAAATGTAATTATTATGGTTTTTTACTATTATATACAGTATAAGCTTTTTCCTATATGGTGACAAGTGACCGTTATTAAAATTAACTGAATTTTCTTCCATCAATCACTGTCATTTCTTTTCATGTTAGCCTTCATAATATTAGTTAGTTTCTGCAATGTTCAAATAAGTCTTCCCATCCACAAAATTGGAGAATAATTGTGCTTTTAGTGACATCTTGGGATAGAAGCTTAGCCTGAGTTGGGGAAATTGTTCGGGCCTGTACTACAGTTATTTACCGACAAGGAAATTTAATGGTGATGGTAAGTAATTTAGATGTAAAGCTGATCAGTAAATTAATGTTATCCATGTCAGGAGTTTTGATTGCAGTACATCCCTGTATAAAACTTTCGTAAGGTATTATGGAGACCAGGGAACTTGTTGACATTGAGGAATTGCTCCCACCCAAACCCCGGGCACCGAAGCCAAGTGACTGTTGTGGAAGTGGGTGTTGTCCGTGTGTACATGATATATATGAACAAGACTTGAAAACTTGGAAAAAGGAGTGTGAACTTATTCGAAATGGTGGCAGAGAAGAGGAACCACATGCCATTAGTGCAGTTCAACCAGAAAAATGGAAGGAGTTTGAAATTATAAAAATAAATGATATTAACAACAACACTTACCTTTACACCTTTAAGCTAAATGATGATGAACATTTAGGATTAAACATTGGACATCATTTGATAGTTAAACAAAGAATAAATGGGAAGGCAGTTACAAGGCAATACACACCCGTCTCTGCCATAAACAAAAGAGGATCATTTGAAGTTCTTATTAAAATTTATCCTACAGGAAAAATTACTCCAATAATTAAAGAATGGAAAGTAGGAGATTTGATACCTTGGAGAGGACCTTTTGGCAGCTTCACATACAAAATCAACAGTTATAAGCGCATCCTTATGTTAGCAGCGGGCACTGGCATTGCACCCATGTATCAGATCATAAAATCAATTCTTGAAAATGAAGATGATGAGACATTCGTCAGGTTGTACTACGCTTCCAAAAGTTTTTCTAATATTTTGCTTCGAGATGAATTATCCAACTATTGTCAGTTCTGGAATTTTACAATGTGTCATTACTTGAGTGGGGAGGTTGATATGGGTCAAAAAAGGTACAGGGAAGAAGCAATGGACAGGAGAATGGCAAAGGATGATATCCGGCAGGAACTGGTGAAGGGCCAAGTAGACTCGACCTTAGTACTTGTATGTGGAACTAAGTCATTTGATAAAGATATGGTGAACGCTGCCAAAGATGCCAATATTCCCAACCAAAATATTTTTAAATTTTGAAAGATATATATTATATACACGTAATATTTTTTACTCCATTGTGTATTTCCAGAGCTGCAAGTATGAGTATACTGTACACCTACATGAAAGTTTTAAAACTCGTCAGATTCGGTCATTAATTTTATAATAAATTCATGGTAGAACCTCAGAAATCAGATTTCTAGGAGTTGCAGAAAATTATCACTTCTGAAAATAATTCATAACATACAAAAATATTAATTGTACTCTCTGGAGAGCAGATAATGCCATTAAGTGAACATGCAGCCACCTGCAGTCATGCCTGAGCCCATAGTGTAAATAATTATTAGTGGATTCATATGAGGCAGAGCTTGTTCTATGACTTACGGTCGTGTGAATGGCTAACATTACTGTACAGTACATGAAATTAATTTTGACTATTTTTATGATTATTTAAAATGTGAGATACGTTTCAAATACAAAATCTAAAGAGTGAGCTAAATAAAATTGTCAAACATAAGCGAAATAAAATATTAAAAGTGGCATCCGCATAGTGATGGGGTTAATGGTTGTGCACCATCGAACTGGACCTTATTTTACCCCATAATCCTCGATAAAGAAATACCTCGTGCTTTCAAATGGGGAAATGCCATTGGTAGAATGACCTTGTTGAGAAAACTAGAAGATTCACAGGTCTGGCACACACTTCATTCAAATAGTTACAGATCTCTGAGGTTGTACTTTAATTCATCAAATGCTAATTTCTTGTAACTTGCAGTTCCTAATATTTAAAGGATTGTGTGTTTAGTGAGACAGTATAGATGTTTGCCAAAGCAACTTTATAATGTGCTTGTTACCTTATGGGACTCTGTGTGTCAGGTGCAAGGTTTGTATTACTAATTTAATGAATTCATTAATGTTAATGTATGTGCTCTGACCTAATGAGGTTACAATATTTGACTTGTATTTTTCTTATATCAGTGACAAGTTAACCTTAATTGTACAGTATTTTAAATCGAGAAATCTTGCTAAGGAATCTTGACAATTCTTATTGTGTATAAGAAAATTATCAGCACCTAATTTGTCAGGATTTATTGTTCCAGCTTGTCGAAGGCTCATACTATGGCAGTGATGGTGCTCATTGTGGATTCACATTTACACTGAGACTATTTAACAATTTTAGATTTAAGTAAGAAGCTTTGAAAATCTGGGACTTTAGTTTCTATTGTAATGTTCACCATTTGTCATCTTAAATACCTGTACAATACATTTGAAGAACATTTATAAAGAATACACTTTAAGAATGTGCAATTTTACTATGATACCTGTTTGATAATACTGTACTGCACTCAATGCCTTTAACTTAAAGAAATTAAGGATATTAACAGTTGTTGATTATATGAAGTATTTCTATTAATTATTTTAGACTTTTCTTGTCGCACTTTAACACTGAATCCTCGCCAATTCAACAATCCTGTGGGCTCTACCCCACTTGAATCGCCTGTAGAATATGAATTAGCCGTGGAATTTTACCAGTTCTTCCAATCACTGAGAATTAAGTTCGAACACTGAAGACCCCGGACATCACTCCCTGTGTCGTAGAAACTCCCCCAGTGTATTAGAGCCTATCAGTCCGTGTCCAGCATTGAGCTAAGCCGGTCAACCTTTCCACACTCCTCCCTTGTCGTGATAGTGAGAGTGAAATGTAGGATAGTTAGAGGTGGTTGGGTTATTTAAAAGAATGGATGTAGGTAAGGTATAGGTGTGGGTATGAGTGCAGTTGTGGGTTTGGTAAAAGTCTTGTTTTGATTTCTTGTCTGTCACACTTGTTAAATTGGACACCGTGGTTCTTCATTATTATTTCCAAGTTAAGTCTCAAGTTGCCCTTCTCTGTGTGTAACTCTTATCTCTTCTCCTCTCTCTATTCTCTTGTTTGTTTGCTGTTTCTTGTGTTCTTTCTGGCATCCGTATCATGTCCTTTTTATACACACATTCTTACTTTTTCTATTGCCTCCACCTTCTCTCTTTTTTATCGCCAATTAGCCTCACCTTATCCGTCACTTGTCTCTTCATTAGCTACTAATGATGGAACAAACTTTTCCCATCTTGGCATTCCAACATCTCGCTGACAACCCTGAACGAGCTTCTGCTTCACTGATAGCAATGGACAATGCCTCTGTCTCGCTGACAGCCCTGGATGTTGCTTCTGCCTCACTGACAGCCTTGGATGTTGCTTCTGCCTCACTGACAGCCCTAGATGTTGCTTCTGCCTCACTAACAACCCTGGATGTTGCTTCTGTCTCACTGACAGCCCTGGATATTACTTCTGCTTCACTGACAGCCCTGGATGTTGCTTCTACCTCACTGACAAACATGGACGATGCTTCTGACTCACTGACAGCCAAGGTGAATGTTTCCACCTCACTGACAGCCTTGGATGCTGCTTCTGCCTCACTGACAGCCCTGGATGTTGCTTCTGCCTCACTGACAAACATGGATGATGCTTCCGACTTATGACAGCCCTGGACGACACTTGTGCTTCACTAACAGCCCAGGTGAATGTTTCTACCTCACTGACAGCTTTGAATGACAATGATTGTACCTCACTGACATCCCTGGATGATAAATTCCCTACATCACAGATAACCCCTCACTGCCTTGCCTTATTGTTCCTCCTCCTCCTAACCTGCTCATCAGTTCCATTTTCATTATTCAATCACTGGATAATAAATCTCCCCTAATACCAATAAAGGCAATAACTCATCTAATTTAATCATGACCAATGTATTGTATTGAATAGTGATCAACAAATACCAATTATATCTATTTCCCTCGTTCACTCTAGTGTGATTGGGTGAGTAAGGCAAACAGTGCTGAATCTAATATACTATAGGAATAGCCGTGTGTGTTCTGGGCAGCCGAAACGGCACAATCGTTTTTCTTCAAACTTGGTGGAAAAATAAAAAAAATCGTAGAGTGGAACAAACCTGGTTCCATGTCGATGGTTTCTTTAGGAAGGCATTAATTAACCATTTTATTTACGTATGTTTTTTTAATAAGATTACTGTCACAGGTCCACTACTGTCACTTCCTTTTCATACTCTACCAGGTACTGTACTGTCACTTCCCTCCTCTTCACACTCCACCAGGTTTTGTCACTTCCCTCTTCACACTTATCAGGTACCTGTACAGTACATAATAATTATGTTGTTTAATGCTTTTTTTACTTCAGTTAATTTGTTCTAAATATTATAACACTGGAATGAAATATTTCTAGAAATGAAGTGGAGTTAATATTAAAAGAGCCTACAATTTGTATTGATAGCAGGAATGATAGGTAGAAAATAGACAAATACCGGTATATGAATTGGTACCCTTATAGGCCCTCGCATAGGGATACTGCCTGCTCTAACCTACTTACTGTTTAGACCACATGTGTAGATTTTGTACACATTTCAAATTCATACAAGTGGCCAAAAACTGTTCAAAATTTTCATTGTTTCATCCACATGAGAGATGTATGAATTAGCTGGTACTGTAATTTTAATTAATAGATGCTGAATTAGTGAACCTCGGTGTATTTGTGTTGCATTACTTCACTTTAGAAGTTTAGTTTGGATCAGTCACCTCTTGTAGTCATGAAGTCGACAGTTTACCATCCAGGGTTCTCATATGTGACTTAAAATACTGTACCTGGTAAATATAAGAGAAATGTAGAGAAAAGACTTATTCATAGTTTGTGGATGTGGAAATGTGTACAGTATATATATGGAGGCTAGAATTGGATCTTTCTCCTAATTTGGTGTCTTTTGAGAATTGGTATTTTATCCTTAAATGCCAACTTCCTTTTTTGGGGAGGGGGAAGAGTGCTGTCTACCAGGTATCTCAGGACTTGACAGTAAAAGAAATGGACCTGACAACCAATAGTGTGTAATGTTTCCTTTTCATGTAATATGTCTAACCTGCTTTATTGGCAAAAGGACTTTCTACGGATTAGTACATCTATGAGCTGCTTGTTCCTGGTTTTGGGTCTTGCTGGCAGACCTTTGTGGTCCTTTCTATACATGGACAATAAAGGTAGTTTAACAAACTGTCATAAAAGTCCAGACTATAGGTGAAACCTAGTCCAAGAGTTGGTAGCAGCAGCAAGCAGTACAAAATCAGGTGATTGTTTCTGAATTGGTTGCTGCGAGAGCTTATCTTTTATTCTTTCCATTCAGTTTATAGACTGCACCAGAACCGAACTTCATGATCCAGGTGGTTTCCACTGTATGGACACATGTAAATATATCCAGGTATATAAAAACTGCATATAGATGTTAAGGCACATATATTAACTGTCATAAAAGGATATTGTAGTTCCTGTGATATTGTAGTTCCTGTAGTGTTATATTCATATCTACTTCATATGTTTTGGGGATTTCTTACCACAACTTAAATATTTATGGTATCACGCCTTTAGGATGAACTATGCTTCCTAAGTTTGTGAAATCATCAGTCAATTTGTCAAGGTCTAAATTGAATTTAAAAGGTGTCTGTCTCTCAATGACCTCAACTTTGGCATTAGATCGTAAGAGTCTTTTGACTGTAAAAATAAAATATACTGTACTGTATATACAGGTTGACAACCCTTTATCCGAAATTCCGAAAAGCTTTGAAAACAATTTTTTTTTTACACCGTGATTAGCCCACCCTGGCATAGATCACTAACCCACATCAGGGCCTGGGGGGACGAAAATGTAATAGTAATAATAATTATAATAATAATAATTATAATAATAATAATTATTCATAGTAAATAAAAATTTTAATAAAAATACACCAGAATAAAATATAACATTAATAATAATAACTAATACAGGAGTACTATAATAATAAAAAAAAAATAATAATAAAGAAATTCAAGAATGAAAAAAAGACCAAAAGTGAGAAACACGACCTAGACCTATAAATTATTATTATTATAATTTTTTTTGCCCCGGCCTTGTGGGTCAGTGATCTATGCCCGGGTGGGCTAATCACGGTAAAAATAAAAAATAAATAAATAAATAACCATTCTGAAAACCGAAAAATTCCAAAATGCCTCTGGTTCCAAGGATTTCGGATAATGGATTGTTAGCCTGTAGTATATTTTTATATGTATAGGTACAATCAACCAAAAAAATTTTGCGTCGCTTTCCATACTTTTCATTCTGGAACACAGGATGAAATGTTTAGAAAACCTGGGTTTGCCAATCCAACACAGGAGTGGCTGAGGTATTTGCTTTTTCCCAGTTCCTATGGAGCCCAGGGGCACGATAATATTTTTGTTGACTGTACAGTACCAAGTACCGTACCATTTTCATACACTATATCTATAAAGATCAGAAATTATCACTGGAAAATGTTCTTTTTTTGAGTGAAAAATTTAATGTTAATTTAAAGAGAAGTTCCACGAGGTACCCCCAAAAAATTTTCCTTGGTAGTCAATAGGTGTGTTAAAGTTTTATCTACTGTACTATTTCAGTCCATATTTTATTTTAGAGAACAATATTTTAATATCTAAATTTCAAATTAAGCTGCAAAAAGCAGAGTACAATAACATAAGCACAAATTCCAACTAAATACGTACTGTACCCAATAACAGCAGATAAAACTTTACTATGCTTCTGACTTCCTCAGTAACTTGTGCTTTTGTGAAAATTCAATATTATATTTTTCATATCAAAATAAAATAGTTATCTTGGAGAATACTGGTAGCTACTTTTTAATCATTTCTTACATGACTAATTTACAAAACAATTTCCTAACACCACTAAATTAAACAATGATAATTCTGGTACTCTACATAGGTGAGAAAAATATACACTTGCCAACAAAAGTCGTGCCGTCTCGCCTGCCTCTAAATGAACCCAAAGATTCACAGCCGTATTATTAAACAACAACTTCCCTTGAAGAGGATCGTCGTGTTTCAACCCGAGTTTTAAACTAAATGAGTTCTGAGGGACAGCGCAGTACTGTACTTAACTGGGTGATGTGACGGTAAGAATAACTAATTCCAATATTATAAATTAATTTTATTGAAATTAGTTAATTTTACCGCCACACCACCCCATTAAGTACAGGTACTGTATTGTGGTGTCCCTCAGGACTCATTTAGTTTAAAGCTCGGGTTGAAACATGACGATCCTCTTCAAGGGAAGATGTTGTTTAATAATACGGGCATTAGAGTGTACATTTTTGCTTGTACAGTTGTTGTTTTCGAGCATATTTTTCTACCAAGATCAAATATGTACTGTAAAGCCAATCTAAATGTTATCAATACTCCAGGGTCCGATAGAATAGCAAATGAGTGGTAACTTAGGATGATGCGCTCTTTCTGCCTATTGGTTGGGTTGATATTAACCCAATGTTTCATGTTCATTGGGCTGTACTGTACTTGTATTTTCTAATGTCAAAACTGAGACTAAAAATACCCATAACTCAATAAAGACCTGGACAGTTGCCTGGTAATATCACAGTTTTATCATGTTCGACTTTCCTTTGAGAACAGATAGGCAAAATCTAATTCAAAACTTTAATTAAAAAACCATAAATATCCCAATATTAATACCACATACATGAGTAAACTTGATACTGTACTTTAAACTATTGCCACAAAAAAGCAGATAATAGGTACTGTATAGTCAGAGAGTTTGGCAGTTCCTTGACCCATTCCTGCTGGGCTGTCTTGGTCACCACATCATGCACAGCCAAAAACTATTATAACTTGTTGATCCTGAAACTTTATTAAACTCTAAACCTAATATGGCAGGATCGACGGCAGCAAGAGGACAAGATTTCTACAGCTTAATAATGCGGAAGGGGTTTAAGGATTAACTACCTTATCAGCTATGAAATAAATCTTGAATTTATGTATTAATCACCATTGTCTTGGTCTCCTTCCAAATCAATGAAAAATACACCCTTCAGAGGGTCTCCTTCCAAATCACTAGTACCTGTAATGGCATCCCCTGCAGGGTCTCCTACCAAATCAATAGTAATTGCATCCTTCAGAGGGTCTCCTTTCAAATCACTAGTAATTGCATCCTCTGCACAGTCTCCTTTCAAATCACTAGTAATTACATCTTCTTCAGGTTCTTCTTCCAAATCCAACTCTATTTCTGTGAGAACCTGTAACTCTTCCAAGGGTAACCTCACCCTCAGGCCTTTTTCTGACAGCAGGTTCATGATCTCCTTCAGCATACTTGGCATGAGACGCGCACAATCCAGGTATACAGACTGTTGAGGAACATGGGAAATATTACACCCTCAACCTACTTCAACATTCAAGGAAATCTTTCATTCTAACAAGCAGTCTTTACAAACTACAAATCCTATCACTTTCTATTCTAAATTTTATTCTGCTTAAAATTATGTTTAATAAAACTTTGCAGGCACGACTGATTTAGCTCATTGTACTAAACTGGGTGCACTCTAAGGCTCTTGGTTTCTTAGGTAATACAAATATGTATTTTTTTTTACTCACTGGGAGGTCTCTTTGGAAGTACTGTATATAGAATTACATTAATTACATATTTTACTCAAACATTTTAACCAATTCTTGCCCATTTGTTTTATAAATTCTGCTGGAAGCTAATCAACCCCATGAGTTTCAGCATTTTTCATATTGCTCACAGCTGCCGCAACTTCTAATTCCAGAATTGGCATTTTGATTTTGATTTCCTTTTCTACTTGTACTCTTATTGCATAGTTCTTCTATGTACTCTGCCCATCTCTCTTTTACTGTCTGCCTCAAACAGGATCTCATTGTCTTTGCTTTTAATAGTCCCAAATTAAATAAGTGATTGTTAAACTTAGGGGTACACTGTATAAGTGACAAACAATATTTCACTACACATTACAGAGAGAATACAGAATTGTTGACAGACCGAGAGATTGGTGCTTCGACATCTTTAAGATAGACAACACAGGTATATATATATATTGGGGGCAACGAGGCAAATTTAATTGTATAACGTATGTTTCAGCTCTGTGTGTGTGTGGATGAGAACTGTCATATTAACACAACTTATATCTTATTCCTTACTTTAACACCAGGGCAGTGAGAAAGTGCCCTGTATACTAGGTCCTTCAGTCCCCCTGGTCGTGTGGCAGCAACCACAGCTAAGTAGAGCCTCCACATGAGAGGACAGTGATTCCCTGGGGGCTGACTCACTGCCTTTTCAAGTATACTTTCTAAGCGATGGCCACAACTGAGAGCCCCTGGAAACAGAAAGTGGAAGATAATAACTTTTCATACTCCATCTTATCAGAGCAAATTGTTTTTTACCCAAAATGAACTATAAATGTGTAGTGAATATGTCACAACCAGCACATGTATGAATAAAAAGCTGTCTAATGAAATACCTTATCCATAATGAAGTTAATTTGGTAACCAACTTTAACTTGCACTTCATCCTATCTCATCCATGTACAGTACAGTATTCCTCAGAGCAGCTATACACTATAATTATTCTTCCCTCAAACTTTCTTCCTCATATCTACACAACGTAATCATAATATCAGTGCAGCATTTATTTGATATCTATCTAATGCCTCTGGTAAATGATAACACACAAAAATATCGAGTTTTGTAAACTACTGTACATTGTGGAGTAAAATTTTTTCATCCATCCTTAGTCTGGCTACTATTGCGAGATTCCTTAGGTCCATTCCGGGAGTTTTAATACGAAGTAAACAAACACAGTTGCCACATCTTACAAAATGCACCAGCTACTGTACAAGGTATAAAAGCAGGTGACCGTAAATTAAGCGGACACTGACTGTAGTTGACACAATCACAACTGACTGACCTTCATATGTTTGGGCAATGAGTGTGATGGTTTTCTGGATGTGTGGGAAGACCTGCGACAACAGCACAGCGATGGAAGAATTTCTCTGAGGAAGGTTCTCTAGTCCACCAAGGAGGTCACGCCAATTCTGTAGCACAGTACCAATTTTGATGATGTGTTAAATAAAAACAAGTCTATCTAAAAACACCATTGTCTTGACTTGGATACTCAAGATGCAGTTCCAGGCCATTCCTACTAAAGTGCTGCAGAGGGTGGACTAAATACCTGGTAAAATATTTATTAACAAACTTTTAACACTACTGTACTTGTATAACATAGTACTTCAGTCAATCTGTGTATACTTCTTCCCTAAATAAGAATGGTGCTACTGTAGTGTGTGGTTTACAAGATATCTTTAGTCTACAGAAGAATTTGTGGGAACCTAACCCAACCAAACTAAACTAAAACTGGTAAAGCACAAAGAAAATTTTGACAGTACACATTATAAAGTATTGGACAAATTGTAGACTGCTGTCTATAGTGTAAATCCCCTGTATGTCATAAACCACAGTGTAGTAGCACCCAGGTAAATTCCACACAACACTTCAGCATGTGATAACCTTTAAAACTTTACCAGCAGCTGCCAAAGCACCTGAAGAGATACATGTACTGGTTTACACTTACAGCACAAACGAGATAAATCTTCACACACACACACACACACTGTATAAAAATGCTTCTAAAAGACTTGAGCAACTTGAAAGTCTACAATTAACATAATACAACTATTCATGTTTTTCTTAGTATTCTTTAGTTTATACTTGGTGTACCAACCTAGGTAGTCTACCCAATTCACTTGAGAACCCCAAGAGGTTGATAATAGATTGTGTGTGTGAAGGGAAGAAATCAATAAAACTGACAACTGGTAGAATATTACAATTTGTGATATCGTCTAATATGGCAGATGTTCTGGGTATGGTGACCGACTTTGAATTACTTCCTAACATAAAATAAAATTAATGTACGTACATTCCAAAATAAATGGCTAAACATGGAGTAATGTACAGTACTCTATTATACTGTATGGAATACAGTACTGTAAATGAATTATACCTGAACACATCTAATCTAATTCACTATACAGTCTCCCCCCGACTTACGACGGGGTTAGGGACCCAAATCCAGGTCGTAAGTCGAATTGGTCATAAGTCGAAAATGCAAAAATAATATATAAAATCTAAAATGGGTGTCTCTTTATCTTCTCAGCACCACATAACTCACTTTTAAGCTTGCCAGCCATTTTTAAAGGAATTACAGACGAAAATTTTGTCAGTATACGTCGGGACTTGAAAATACTTAATTTGAAAAAAAAATTGATACGACTGGGGCACTCATAAGTCGAGGAGTAGCTGTAATCAAAACACTGACCTATTAATAAAATGTATGTTTCCACTCTTCCAAGGTCATATTCAGCTTCCCTGTGTGCAGCCTCTTATATGCTTATTCCATTGACATATTCCTAGCTTTCAAAAATCAATTTACTAACAGACTATCTCCTACAAAGTCCACCTCTCACCTTCCTCCTTTCCCTTTACTGGACCACACCACAAATCATCTCCCATTAATTTATCACTCATTATATTTTCAGTGCATTCATGCCATCACAAGGTTATCAGCCAATGACCTGTCTGAAATTTTCCACCCGACATCTAACTAATTTATTTATCACATTTTCAATCGGTATGAGACGGGTTCTAGCCCTTTAGCGGGCAAGGGGTTCCCTCAGCTGAAAAAATATATAATCGGAATATATTTGTGTGGTAAGAGTCGCATCCAAACAAAATACAGTAGAATGTCGATTTAAAGCACTTCAATTTAAGATTATTGATTTAAAGCGACACCCACAATTAAGGAGAATGTTTAAATATGAAGTGAATCTTTATTATTTTGCACGGATCAATCTGACATATATACCCCCCCCCCCCCACAATCTTCACATCAGCTGATCACTAGTAAACAGACCATTTCACGTCCCATAATTTTGGCGGAGTTGATTTATAAGTGTTTGTTTTAACATACTACAAAAAACAATGTAAATAATGTTTTGTTTAATCTGGATGGGCTGAGGTGCATCTGGGTAAACTCTTAGTCTTTTTAGCATTTTGTTTCTCTCAAGTATCAAACTAAATTATTCCATTGAAACAACACTTCGATTTAGTTCGGTTTAAAGCGACCTCTCTTGGAACGTATCTCGTGTTATATCGACGTTCTACTGTAGTACTTGAAATAGGATTCATCAGACCTTACAAGTGAACACAGTACTGTACATACCTGGTGCTGAGCAAGAAGTAAGAGGAATCTTTGGTTTTCTGGAGCAACTCTTAAAGCCGACATAATTATTTCCCTCAGAGTCGCTGGAGACATCATGGCGTCACTCAGGACTTGAGATGACACCTCAATTAACCAAAGGTAATTCTCATATATTTTCTCCAGCACTTTATTCTTGTATGCATTAGTTTCGTTTTTCTCTTGTGTCTCCATAGCATTGGCAACTCTTTCTGAAGGCAATAAAATATGCTGCAGCTGAAGAGGAACTGGGTTTGTATATACACCTTTGATTTTCTTAATAATGGTTTCAAAAATCAAACAGGCAGGTTTAAAGCCTGCCATGAACAACTGGAAAATGGCCAGAAAACTTACTAGTTTAACTGCCAGAAATTGTTCCATGTTCTTTTCAGGGTTAGTGTCATAATTCACAGTTAAAGAATCACAGTGCAAGTCTAACATATCGTTTAGTTTATTCTTGGTTTGGATGACGCGCTTACCATAAAGAGATAATCCCTTGTTTTGTGAAAACTTTCCTGTATTAATTAATGAATATAGGGAAAACATGATGTTATTTTTGTGTTTAAAAAAACCAATTCGTGCCTCTTGCTTCATCTCTACTTGGATGAACAAGGCATAAAGTTCCATAATAGTGGGAAAATCTGTGTTGGTAATATCCATCGCATTACCAGTAGCCGTAGCAATAGACAGTGTTGAAGAGAGAATAGAAGAAGCATTTTCCAAGTCATTCCTGGCTTCTTCTATTTTTGCATACTCCAGATAGAGAGGAAGGCACATCCTAAATTCATTTAACTTAAATATATTTTTTAGTACCTTCTGTAACTGGTTATTAGACCTCTTAAGTTCAATTTTGTCACTGATAATTTTCTGCTTAACTAAATACCATGCACCGATGAGTTTCATGTGCAAAACTGTCAACTGTGTTCTATATGATAGTTCGAACACATCAGATGCCTGTTTTACTACTCTACATAAGAACTCATAATACTCCTCACATAAAGGGTCCTCAAGAGATGGACCAACAGCATCAAAATTTAGAATCTCACTCTTTACATTATCTTTTATGGAGTGTAAATTAGTTCCAAATAAATCTGCATCAAAGAGAGTTTCAATAACTTGGGACTTAAAAACAGTTTCACTATTATCATCATCATCTTCTTCAACCTTGTTATTTTTCTGACTTTTGCTCAATGTTTGTCTTCGCAATATGAAGGTTTTAGTATCAGGTACACCAAGAAATTTGAGAAACTGAAGTATAAGGTAGTAGTGGTCCTCTACAGAATTCAACATGAAAAGATGGGGAGATAATTCTTCTAAAGGAACCATCCTCTCGGGGTCCTCACAATCCTCAGGGTCTTGTGCCCATGGCAACCAATGACGTCTTTCTCGGGAGGTCTCGAGGGCCAACCATAACCGTGATGTTGTGCCACCTTGAGCTATGAAGTCATCTTCTTCATCTTTTGTCCCACCTGTTGGGTAAAACAACATTATCTTTTGTGGGGTGGCTACTCCAGGTGAAATGCTGTAGCTTGACCCAGGACACTGAAGTGGAGTGGCCAACTCAGTATATACGAAGTCTGTCCAAAAAGAAACAGAACATTTTAAATAGCACGCCAACGAGTCGGCGCAGCCTCCTCGCAATGGGAGCGCTGTGTAGCGGGTGACCTTGAGCTTTAGTTTAACACTAGCCGCATCACGACATGTCAATTAGTCATTGAGCTACATGAGCTAGAGTGAACGTGTGTTTAGTGCACTTGGCGATTTGTTGCAAGTTGAACAATGTAGGATCTTGAAGAGCAATATCTTTGCATGAAATTCTGTTTCAGATTGGGAAAAACTTTCAAGGAGACTTTTCAAATGTTGCAACAGGCTTATGGGGAGGAATGTTTGAGCCGTACGCAATGTCACGTGTGGTACCAGCGTTTCAAAAAGGGTTAGAACATCCACCGAAGACGAACCCAAATCTGGATGGCCTTCCACGTAAACTGATGACGATCACGCTGAGAAAAAACGTGCTGTAATCCATGAAAATCGTCGCCTGACTGTCCGTGAAGTTTACGAAGAAGTAGGCATCTGTAAAAGTTCATGCCACACGATTTTAACAAAAAACTGAAGATGCAACGTGTTGCCGCGTCTGCCGACAGATGAGCAAAAAGAGAACCGTGATACAGTCAGTCAGGAGCTGTTTGATCGTTCAAATGCGAATGAAAACTTTCTGAAAAATGTCATAACAGGTGATGAAACACCTGTTGCAACATTTGAAAAATCTCCTTAAAAGTTTTTCCCAATCTGAAACAGAATTTCATGCAAAGACATTGCTCTTCAAGATCCTTCATTGTTCAACTTGCAACAAATGGTCAAGTGCACTAAACACGTTCACTCTAGCACGTGTAGCTCGATGACTAATTGAAGTGGAGTTATGCGGCTAGTGTTAGACTAAAGCTCAAGGTCACTGCTACACAGAGCTCCCGTCGCAAGCACGCTGCGCCAGCTCGTTGGCGCGGTATTTAAAAAGTTCGGTTTCATTTTGGACAGACCTCGTACACCAGTGATAACATTCCACAAACTATGTTTGTCATATCATAGAACTAAATCTGCATCTTATGAGTGACAAGTCCAAACTTTCACCAATTTGATATTGAAACGGTTTACTGTATTCAGCCAGAAAGACATTATGATTCCAAGTTCTGAAAAACAGGCATTCCCAATTTATGAATGGTTTTCTGAAATGTAACCATTACATAAATTGAGAAATACCTGTACTGTACATAAACCAATGTACAGGTAACTCGAATTACTATTTCATGTTAATTCTCAGTCCCACTATCATAACATAAGGAGGGTCTACTGTAGTGCACTGTACCTGATTTATTACTACAGTAATTTCACTTACCTAATATAACTTCTTGATATTTCACCTGCTCTTTTTTCTCCATAACCTTGGCCCATCCAACAGCTTTCACCTCACCAAATCTGTAAAATTGTATATGTACTGTATCTCTGTTAAAAAAGGTAATCAATACTGTACAACTATTCTTTATGTATGTTTAAAAAAGAAACTAGCATAGCTATTTACCATCAATCTATTCATCTATTGTATTTATAACTCTTACACCTTTTGTATTTTTTCCAGAGTAAATACAACATAAAACAACTTTAAATGAAAATGAACCACTCAACTAGATTTATGGCCAATTGAAAGCCATGTCACCAACACAAAAAATGCAAACTTTCACAATTTATCAGACAAATACATGCATACAGAACCTGAATACTACAGTGTATACCTCAAGCACAAATAAGGTATACAGTAAATAATTCCCAAATAGGAGTTGCAACAAGCTACAGTATCTGTCTGTTGTAGAAGAATCTGATGAATAAATGTGAAAACATGAGTCACACTAATGCTACCTGGATAGGCAAGGTTAGATTATCACAAGGGTATTTAACCCTCTCGCTGTGTCTTTATCGTATACAACACGATAAAATTTTTCCTGATCACTGCAGCTGTAACGTATACTCCCTTGTACTGTACAATCATGTGGTTATAAATTGGCGTGCGTGCCTGACGAGCAAAAATATGACTGCTATTCGTAAGTATTTTTCTACTAAGTTAAAATATATATAGTTGAACTTGGTAAAAAAATATTATTATTTTTTCATTATACTTGTACCTGTACATGTATAATAGAAATATTTATTTTTTATTTTACACAAATATCCACACACAGGATACCCCGATTAATCAATGACATTGCTGTGAGAGGGTTAATCATTCTGTGAAATAAGCTAGGATGTCTTTATTTCATGTCATCATTTAATTCTGAAAGGCCCTGACCACTGTAATCTACCTGAGAAGGAGCAAGCACGAGCAACATCCACCAAGCTTCTCCCTTAACACTAAGACCTACCTTGGTGCTCTTGAATCCCAGAAAGGTTCAAAGAGTGTTAACCTTGATTCCAATGGTATATCCTTGGTGCTTGCATGCTTTGGAGAAAAGAGATTCAGCTCTATGAGTGCCTGGAAAAGAGCAATCGATCTCTCCATGTGTCCTCCTTGACGCCACACATGTGCAAGTTGGACAGCTATATCCACTAAGCATTTCCCCAGGTCAGGAGGTGGAGAGTGGGTCAAGAATACACCACTCTGCATTTGTTGCAATCTTTCACTACACTTAGAAAATGTTTGCACCACTGATGGCAGACTAAAGGAGGTAAAGTGGGTCTGCATACAAACCAGATACTGGTGCCAAACTTGGATCTTATTGGGGAAATTGAATATCAAAGTACTCCATTCTTGTTTGAGTTTTTTGTCATCCCAAATATCTTTACCAATTTCCAAACGTTCAAACTGTAACTCTACAGATCTAAAGTTCTTTTTTATTGCACTGTCTAAAATGGAAATCTTCCTCTCGGCTAAAGCTTTCTGATTCCTCCCGTGCTTCTTTGTAGTAGTAGTCTTATGTGAATCATCATGAAACAGATATATATAAGCTTTATCTTGAAATTTCACAAACTCAAGCCAGAGAGAAACATTGGAGGGTTCTTTGCTAAGTCTCTCATTGTACACTTTTGACTGGTTCTGCCAATACTCATACTCCATTTCTTGGCTACATTGTACACTTTCCTCCTGTTTGGGAATTCCTACACCTAACAAATACTGTTCTGTTATACTATCATATATTCCCAGGGGATTTACTTCTGACTTCTGGAGGAGTTTCTCTTCTTTGACTGTCTCTGCATAGGTCAACCCAAGTGGTACATAACCATAAGAGTTTTTTTCAGTTACAGGGTTTTCCTTGGATGTTGCTATAAGTGCTTCAGGTTCAGAATATATCTTTTTATGTTTTCTTCCTCTGTAGTACCGGGGCCCAGGTCGTGATTTCAGAACACGATCTTTCTTCTGTGGAGGAACATATCCAAGCTTTCCTTGAGCGCTAATCTTGTACCTGCAACACATAAAATTAACATGAGTAAAACAATAAAGATACCATTAGGCAAGTTTTATATTGTTGCAAATACTGTTAATGATGATGTACTAAAATTTATATAATTATACAGGGTACAGGAACCTCTTAATTTATGAGTGTTTATTCTATGCCCATTTTAGAATAACACACGCAGTCCATTTACACATTTTTTTTATAATGTATGTGGGATTATGTTCAGAATAATGTGACCATTGGCAAACGTTGTCATTGGGCTGGCAGCGCAGTGGTGTGGTGTTGCGTGTATGTGTATTTTGTGCTGCAGTAAACTATAAATTGCACATGTTTTGCCCCTTGCATCATGCCACCAAAGCATCCTTTCAGGTCTCATGATATAGTTGTAGATATGTGTTCCTACACCACTGTGGTAACCTGTGTCTTCAAATGGCCAACCTAGTCCTACAGTATAGCAAACCTTTCCACCAATGACGACCATCGATACATGACCAATACCCTTTAATTCATAAATAGTAATTACTACTACTGCGACGTTGCTGTTTAGAGACGACACGGGTTATCACAGGGGATGTAGGAACACATTTCCCCGGTGGTGCTAAAAAGTCCGTCGTCATAACCACCAACGATAGGTACAACAATATGATGAAGGCAGGTACTGGACTGGCTGTGACCACATTATATCAACAAAGAACCAGGAATTTAATACCACACAATAATTAATCTGGGGTCGAGTTGGGATTTTATTAATTTTTTCATTACCACACGATAATGTTTTAATAGCCTGGTACCAAATATACCTAAATAATATAGGAATTATGGTGAAATTGCACGTTTTATTAACAAGGTCAGAGGTGTGCACTTGGCTCAGTAATGGGAGAGGGGACACTCAGTATACCAATCAACCACCCTGCCTCCCACAAACAAATCACTTAGTATATTTTAACTTTTCTTATTTTATAGTTTTATATTATATTTTCTTTATTTCTATGTCACACTGGAGCATTGAAGTGTTATTTCCACAACTTACATGGTTTATTATGTAAAGAAACACTGGCAGTCGTCGCTCACCATGAATTATGAATATTTGACTGCAAAATTTAAAACACAGGTAGAAGTAGAAGTAACTGCAAATTCAAGAATGCAAATATGTATTTCACGAATTATTGACTCGACTGCATTTATTAGATCTTGTGCCCAAAGGTGCATGTATTGGTGTTGTCTACAAAGATATTTACATTATAGACTGTGGTCTACAATTTGTCCAATGCAGTACAGTACATTAGAATGTCCACTATATTAATTTTATTATTGATTTTGTATATTTAGTGCTTTAGGTTATGTTAGGGTTGACAAAAGATATTTTTGTAGACTGCATGTTGTAGTAGCACCCTTTTATATCTAGTCTTAAGCGATTTCTTTCTTAGAATGATCTGCATAATACATAATTCCTCTCTCTCTCTCTGTACCTTGCTAACTCTGTGTGATGCGTAGTTTTACAATATGCATTGTATCTGTCACCTTCTGTCGTGATGAAAAAGGCATTCTCGGGATTTACCAGACCACCGAGATCCTCTAGGAAGATGCTCTTCTTCTTGACCATCATTTCTTCAAATCTTCAAAAAGTAAAGCATTAAGTATTCACAATAAAAAATAATAATAATAAAATAAATAAATACACTAAATAAATTTACATACAGTACAGTACAGTTCAAAATTTTACCTAATAGTAGTATTATTATTATTATTATTATTTTTTATTTTATTTTTTTAAGATTAAAGAGTATACTGTAGTACAATACTAAAATGGTGACTAGGTTGAGTTTGAAAAGAAAGTAAGTTGTGGCCTAGATGAAGGTGTATCAGTCTTGTACAGTCATACAAAACAGATTTCTTAAGATATTTTGAAGGATACCAATATATATGTAAGCATTCTACAGTACATACACCTAATAAACCAAGACTACCAACAGTGACTAACACACATAGTTACACACACTCCGCCTTTTCACCTTTACTTTCTCTCTTGTGTCTGTTATATTCTCTGGGACTTGAGGGAAACCTGGAGCGAGATACACAACCAGTTATAAAACTCCCGAACTGTCATTTGATGCGGGTGTGTTGTTTTATCTCATTTGGGGTCGATACTGCTTCATATTGGGAGGGAGCAAACTTTTGACCCAGACTATGCAGTACATCAAAATCAGTATTTTCATGTTACTCTTCTCTATATTGACTTCTTTTGACTATTGTTCTGCATTTATAAAAGATGAGAGAGATGGTGGCAAGCCCACAGTAATCCTTCAGTAAGACAAAGTTATTTTAGACATGATTTCCTAGATGCAATGAAGGAATTTACACCAAAAACTTCATTGGTCAAGCTGTGGAAATAAATGAGCAAAACTAAAGGTAAACGGCTCGTCATGGTCAGTGTTCAGCACATGGCTTCTATGCACATTAGTGGTCAGCAAACTGCCTTGGTTCATGGCATATATACCACCTCTCTGCCCACATGGTGATTACTGTATATATACTCCGTAATTGAAGGAATCATACAAAAGTACAAAACGCATCGACCAGACTTATGAAAATGGATGAAAACTATCGTCATTAACTCACCAGATACAGTACAGTATTCTGAAATAACATACAAGACCATATTTTTTTTTACTTATATTTATCTTACCTCTTGTTGGGGTGTGGCTTTCGTTTTTTATCAGGTCTACGCACTCTTGACTTAGACCGTTTAGATTTTGACCTAGAATGTGATGAGTTAGTGCTGGTGGTAGCCTGTGTTCTATTGTCTATCTGTTTCTCTATTTTCTCCGTCTTTAGTTCTTTGTCGTAAAATTTGGATCTTTGGAGCTGTGCTGACTCTGTTTCTTCCAAACTTTCATCAAATTTCTCTACATTTTCTGCATCTTCTGATTGAGTACTGTAAATAAAAATAAAAGTTAAAACATAAAATTCTGGAACTTACAACACAAATATTACCACCAGAGACAAAAATATACCTCACATTTAAGACTACGGTGTACAGTACCAGTACCCTGTATATTATTTCCCGAAACCACGATTAATAACAAAAGTACTAAACTAAAAAATTACCTGTGTCATTCAACTGGCAGGAATCAAAATACAGTGGCCCCTCGGTTAACGAACTCAATCCGTTCCAGAAGGTCGTTCGTTAACCGAAACGTTCGTTAACCGAAACCATTGTTTCAATGGGTTTTTGGGTAATTGGTTCCAGCTCACCGAAAATTTCCTAAATTCAACAAAAATGGTAGAAAAGTTCACTTACTTTGAGGTGTGTATGTAGAAGGCTCCTGGATGATGATGATGATGATGGGATTTAGAATATGGGTGGAGGAGAAGGAAGAAGAGAAGGCATTGGGGTGGAAGAGAAGTCACCCCATGGTGCCATTTCACCCATAAAATTTTAGCTCTCTGGTTTAATTCAAGATTATTTTCTTTAAATCAACGCTGCACTGCATTATATATTGTCAATATATAAAATATATTTCAAAATGACCAATAATTTGCTTGGAAACACAGAAAAAAAGCGTTTAGTTGAAGAGAGTCTCAAGCAAGATGTTACCTCCAGTGAAAACAGAGAGAGACTGACGCCTGTTTGCTGTGTAAAGAGGCTGGATGCCGCGCATTAAACTAGTCACTTTACCTTCAATTTTGTTCAATAATTGTTAAAATGACTAAAAAATTGAATATTAAACTTTTAAAATTATTGAATAGTATAAACTTCTTGATATTTACAAAAATAGTAAGGAATTTAAGCCCTAGAACCGATTAATGTATTGGCGGACTGATACTAAAGCTGGTTGCCCTGTCAGTGCAAGCGAAAACATGTTGAGGTCGGTTCGTAAGAAGTTCGTTAAGCGAATTTTTTTCGTTAACCGAATTGAAGATCCTTATGGAAGGCAGTTCGTTAATCGAAATTATGTTAACCGAGGTGTTCGTTAAACGAGGGGTCACTGTACAAACAAAGCCATACATGGATAATAATCTTAATGTGCAGTTGTAAGTAACTAAAGCACCATGACAGCAGTGCAAAATAACTGATACCACTGCATTTTTCAACAAGACTCACATATGGTACAGGAAATGATATACAGTACAGCTTCTCCCCGACTTACGACGGGATTCGGGACCCAAATCCAGGTCGTAAGTTGAAATGGTCCTAAGTCAAAAATGCTTAAATAATACATAGAAAATCTAAAATGGGTATCTCTTTTACTTCTCAGCACTACTTTTAAGCTTGGCAGCCATTTTAAAGTGAATTACTAATGAAAATTTTGTCTGTGTACTGACGTCGGGACTCAAAAATACGTAATTTGACAAAATTTTGGTACGACTGAGGCAGGTCGTAAGTCGAGTGGGTCGGGGAGGAGCTGTACTACATCCAGTAAAGCACTATACTATACTACATAGCAGTACTTGTACTTAATTCATAATACCACCAGATATTACTACAGTATTCCTCTTTTCAAAACTGGTACAGTACTGTATGATCCATTGCACATAAATTTCCAATTCTGGTGGAAGTTGAATCATCTGCATTCAAATCTATTACATACAGTACAGACCAGTACTGACCTTGGCAATGGCTGCTTCACTTGTTGCTGTCCTGCTTCTGGGGGGCAACTCTCATTTGTCAACCAAGCCAAGGACGCTGATGAAGCTTCTGACTGTTGGTCTGTAAGAAAATACCAAGGATTAGAATTACAGTACGTTAGTTTGGTACGTTTAATTCATTCTATGAGCGATAAATTAAAATATGTAGCCCCCACGTTTTGGCTGCCTGTCAATCTATTCAAGTCTCTCCCTGTCCAACTCCCTATAAGAACATAAGAATGGAGCAAACTGTAGTGGGCTTATTGGTCCATACTGGGCAGTCCCATTTACACCCAACCCCTATTGCTCATATATCCATCCAACCTATGATTGAAGCTATCCAGCGTGTTCGAGTCAATAATGATGTTTGATAACTTGTTCCATTCTTCCACTACTCGTATTTCCAAACCAATGTTTACCTATTTTGCGCTAAATCTAAATTTATCTAATTTAAAACCATTGTTACGAGTTCGCTCCTGGTTGGATAGTTTGAGTACCTTTGTAATGTCCCCTTTGTTTAGCCCTGACTTCCATTTATACACCTCTATCATATCGCCCCTCACTCTACGTCTCTCGAGGGAATGCAAATTAAGATACTTCAACCTGTCTCTGTGCTTGAGGTTCCTAATGCCCGAGATTAGTCTTGTCATTCTCCTCTAAATTCTTTCTAGGGATTTTATATCCATTCTGTAATACGGTAACCAGAATTATTAACTGCATAATCCAAGTGAGGTCTCACAAGTGTAAGATATAGTATTAGGATGACCTCGCTAGTCTTGTAACTAACACTCCTTTATATGAACCCAAGTACTTTATTAGCCTTGTTTCGAGCAAATACACATTGTTTACTTGGTTTAAGATTCCTACTTATCATTACTCCTAAATCTTTCTCACTCCTGTTCTGAATCCTTTCTTTGATGCATTTAGGTTTTAGTTCCCTGCCTAATTTAGTTTTGTCATCATTCCTAGCACTATTTCCCTAAAACCTTTCACTCTGTTTACGGAGGTGGAGGAGACTGCAGTTCCATATGTTCCCCTAGCAGTTTAAAGACTTTGACATCTTTTGAACTGCCTTCTCGAGAGAGCCAGCCAGGGCTATACAACTCTCTACCTATTTTTTTAAGCACCGATTCATCTATTAATATAAACATCAACTCATTTATCAAAACACCTCTTTCCTAACCTTAATCTCTCTCTCTCTCTCTCTCTCTCTGTTCACCCTCCTATTTTTATCAAGTCCTATGATTGTTACCTGAGTGCCCTGACCTGACTATGGGATGACCTTACATCATGACCTCACAAGCACTGAGAAGGGTCATATTGGTTCAGGTACACCAGGTTTTGGGTATTGTTGAAAAGTGATGTCATGTTTGTAATGACATCAACACTCTCTCCTTTCCCTTCTCTCTCTTACTTCTTTCATTATTTTACTTTATTTTCTTCCTTTCCTTACCCTCCTCAATACTAGACGCCACTTTAGTTATTTGATTCGATTAATGTCAGTCGATTTTATTCAGCTAAGAGAGGCGATATAAAGTATCATACCTCAAGCAGGAAATATAAACATATGTGTACAGTATTTTTCTACAAGTAAATGATATCGAAAATTGTTGTCTAGCTAATTATTCATGGTAACTAAGATAGTGCACTGATGGATAATAATTGAGTAAGTTGGGGAATTTTATTGGTGTACGGAAATAAAGTACACAGGAAAAAATGTTATTTGACTTGTACACATTGACAGCACTATTTAAATATGATGGCATTGCAGGTAGGTTAGGTTAGGTTTTTTCCGTGCCTTTTTTCTTGACTTTTTCCTGGATTCCTAAATACAAGAATGACAAACTCAAATTTTACCGAAAATACTGTAATAAACTATCCAACTGTTTCATTATATGGTAAAACAGAATCTAGAAGCTTAAATCATATAGGACCCAAGCCCAAACATCGATTTCAAGGTAAAACAAAGTATATAAAATCAAGTAAAGGAAACGTGGTCACAAACATACCGATTTTGTTGGCATAGGCTGGAAACAGTGACATTTTCTTTAATTACTGGGTTTTTTTCCTGTACAATCACGCGTTGGATTTTACTTCTCGTTGTTCCATGGAGTTTAAAGGTCTGGGTATCTATTTAACGTATTGCTGCCCGTTAGTTTAATTACAGCAGCACACTATCAGCCCTTTAACCTTCCTGTACTGACTGTGGATGACTCGCGGGCGTCTGATGAAGAGACTCCGCACCTAGAGTTGGCTTGTGACTGTCCTGTATTAATGTAAGAAATATCTTGTTTATGTGAAGAGTATTAATATATATCAAGATGAATTAGTTTCGTTATTAATTAATTTATAAATTATGTTCACATTGAGTGGTTTAGCTCTCATTTTAAGTTTTATGGTTATCATTAAATGGCAAAAGATTAGAATATATTGGATCCCTGGAAATTACACCCCAGTAGCTTATTTCACTTTAGGATTAACCACCCTAATGTTAACCTACGAGCCGATTAGTAGTGAAGAAGATAAAAGTGAAAGTAATGATAATTTTAACCTTTCCCAACCTAATATAAATCCTTCAGGTAGTGTTAAGTATTCCATCATCAGGTGAAATATACCGGGGAGATAATCTTCAGGTAATCAAAATTATATAATATGTTGAATTTTTGAAGGTGTTGGTAAGATTTTTTCATGAAATATTGTTTAATATTCTTTTCACTCATGTGGACATGAATTTCCTGTATGTTCGAAATTGACTGTGTCTTCGTATTACTGGAATTAGAGATAAAACTCAACAAATCTTTCCTCAAGCTAAAGTAAATAATTTAAAAGTATTTATGACAAAGGAAAATACTGGACTTAAGATTACGTGAAGATGAGGTTAAGGAAAGGTTGCATCACGAGTTAGGTAAGCCCTTATATACCCAAGGATTGAGACCCAGCCGGCATTAGTGTACAGAGCATTGTGGGTCACGGTGCTGGAGACGCCATATTAGTAAACCCTGGAGACAACCTTCATCACCTCACACAACACCCGTTAATATGGCGACGAAAGTGGATATGAGTTTAGACGACATCATAAAGACACAGAAGATCAAGCCAGGTAACAGGAGAGGAGGAGGAGGAGGAGGAGGTGTTGGTAGAGGTATGAGAGGAAGAGGGAGAGGAGCATTAAGACGTGGTGGCGGCGTCTCTACAGGACCAAACCGCGGGCGTCAGGGCCAGCGACCCATCACCACCGGGAACAGACAACCATTCGGACAAAGGGTAAGTAATAACCGTCTCATTTTTCTTATATACACTAACTACCTTCATAAATAACCTAGATAACCTATAATTTTGGGTGTATTTAGCTGGTTTAATGGAGATCCGGCCAAAGGATGAGTCATGTGTACGTGTGGATTTTCTTGTGTGGTTAAACGGAAAAATTTCTCACTATATATAAATACCATTAACAGATAATGATAAAACTAATAAGCATTTTAAAGGTTATATTAGGGTAAGTTACTTTTAGATTTGTTTAGGGTAAGAGTAAGCTGACATTTTTTTCCTACTTTGTTTGTGAAGGTGTGGTAAAAACATTGTGAATGACTTACTGTATTAATTTAATTTGGTAAAAATCTGGTAAGCACTATAATGGGAAATTAATAACCTAAATATGGTTCCACATGTTTTTCTCTTGATTCTAGGCCTAAAATCCAAACGTCTAACTAACTAGTTCATATAGATTGGACAGGTATAGGAGCGATAGGGGTTGGTTGTAGGTTAATAGGTTCGTTTCCTCCATTTTTGTCAATTAATACCTGTACATTTATGGAGATGGACCCTCTACCGACACCATAGTTTATTACAAAGTGGGCTGAGCATTGAAGGTGAGGGAAAATGTGGGGTTAATACACTAATTAAACACCAGTCAAACCTTGAAAACCTGACCCATTCTAAAATACCTATTTTTACATCACTTACCTTATTTAACACTCTGGATGCAGGAACATAAGAAAATAAGGAGTCTGCAATAGGCCGGTTGGCCTGTGCATGGCAGCTCCTGTCGAGCATTGCTCCCACTCTATCATCCGTGAACCTATCTAGCCGCTTTTTAAAACTTTCCAGCGTTCCAGCACTTACTACAAAGTTGCTAAGCTTGTTCCACTCGTCCACCACCCAATTTGTGAACCAGTTCCTTCATATCTCCCTCCTAAACCTTAACTTATCCAACTTAAATTCGTTGCTACGAGTCCTATCCTGCTCGGATATTATAAGAACTTTATATCTCCTTTATTGATTCCTTTCACCCACTTAAATACTTCTATCATATCTCCCCGCACTCTTTGTCTTTCTAAAGAATGCAGGTTTAGTTTCTTTAATCTATCTTGATATGGTAGATTTCGAAGTCCCGAAATCATTTTCGTCATTCTTCGCTGCACCGTTTCCAGTGAATTGATATCCATTCTATAATAAGGGCACCAGAACTGAACAGCATAATCGAGGTGCGGCCTGACTAGCGCAAGATATAGTTGCAATATGACCTCCGCACTCTTATTACTTACACTTCTAGATATAAAACCTAATACTTATTCTGTTTGCCTTATTTTGAACATTAACGCAGTTTTCTAGGCCGTAAGTCTCTTTCACAAGTCGACTTCTTCAGGTTCATGTTAAGGCTGTATACATTACCAGTATTTGTTCTTCCAATATTAAGTACGCTGCACTTGCTGGTGTTGAATTTCATTTGCCATTTTTCTGACCAATCCTGCAGTTTATTTAAATCCTCCTGTACGGTAGTGCATTTGCATCCTGCCCTGAATTAATCTGCTGCCCTATTTTGGTGTCATCGCAAACTTGCTAATGTCACTGCTGATCCCAGTATCTATATCGTTTATGTAGATTATGAACAAGAGTGGGCCCAGTACTGATCCCTGGGGAACCCCACTCAAATTTAACACCATCTACACTGACCCTCTGTGTTCTATCGGTGAGCCATGGTTTTATCCAATTTATAACTTTCTCCTCGATACCATGAGCCTTAACTCTTCTCAGAAGCCTCTGATGCGGTACTCTGTTAAACGCTTTGCTAAAGTCTAAGTAAATAACATCGTAATTTTTGTCATTATCTACTTTCCCCAAAAACGTTAGCAGATTTGTTAGACAAGATTTTTCCCTTTGTAAACTCATGTTTAGAGTTGAAGATTAATTTGTTTTTCTCTAAATGCGATCGGATGCTACTTGCTATAATTGATTCAAGAAATTTCCTCGCTGCTGACGTCAAACTAATCTGTTGGTAATATGACGCTGATGCTCTGTCCTAAGTTAAATAAAAGCGTCAGGAGGTAGGCAGAATAAAATAGTAAGTGCGGGAATTGCTGCAAAAGTCTTAACTGATGAAGCCCCTTTTTCTCTTTGTATGTAAGTGGGATGTGTCTCCATAAATAAACATCAGTGATGAAAATAAAGGTCACATTTTTACCAAATTACCATGTAAAACATTAACCTCTTTTTTGGTCGTTAAATTTCCATTATGGTCACAAATGAATCTTTACCATTAGTTTTCTTTTTTAATAATTTAACAGTTGTACATCTTAACCAGGTCACGAGGCAATTTTTTCTACAGAAGATACCGTGCATTCTTACCTCATGAAAATCCCAAGAAAAGGGAATAATTCAACTTTACTTTTGAGTCCTCAGTGATGAGTTGACTACTTTTGGTATATACCTGTAGTACAGTATATTAAAATTAAAACCTGGGTACACTATCATAACACTTATGGACAGTGCTCCAGGTTGACCAGCTACCTAACAAAGAATATCTTGCCCTTCATTAAATGTTATCACAAGTTTGTGTTCATTGAGTGAGGTTAATTTTATTATTGTCCCATAATGTAAGGAAGGAGATAATTTGTTAAGAAATGTCTTTTTTGACATAGTTTTTTTTTGACATAAGTTTTTTTTTGACATAGTTTTAATAAGAAGAAATGTACTTATTTATCTACTTTTACAGGGCAATGTAGATGGTAGATGGAGCCATGACATGTACCAGGGAGGAGGAGGAGGAGGTGGTGGAGGAGGAGGAGGGGTGCGTATGCAGCAGATGACTGGACCAGCAAAACTTTTGATCTCAAATTTGGACTTTGGTGTTTCCGATTCTGATATTCACGTGAGTATAAATCTGGTTGTCAGTACTTTAAATTAAAACATTGAGAAAGCTATATGGTTTCTATAAACTGTTCAAGATGGTGTAATTGCTATTATGCCAAGTATTTCATCAAGGCTTCTGATTGTGTATGGTGTTATACTGATTACAGGATAGTCAAAATTTAACACAATCTTATATCACCATGGATCAGTGTAGCATCCTCACAAAGAAGACTGGAGGTTAATGCAGCAGAAAACACGATATTCTTATTATTAGTGAATCTCTTCAGAACAATATTATAACTAAGTTAGCTGTGTCTCTTACATCTTCACAGTAAAGTACCTATTAATGACTATTAAATTTGTGATGGATTTACTTGTCTGATTTGGTTAAAATGTTAGATTTATTTATTTTCCACAACCCGATGCAGAGAAAAAAAAGCATAGATCGCATCCCTATGATCCACAATATTTTTTTGAAGCTGTTTTTATTAATCATACAGTAAGGTGTAACCACAAGGATGTACATAGGTGGGGTGTCACATACTCAAACATGTGTGTTGGGGATGCGCTTCATTTTTGTACTTGATTCATAGCACTGACATCAGAGTCATGTGTGTCTCTCCCTAACACAGCTCTTGATCATGTTTTAGCCACTTTTTGTATCTTGTCACTTACTGTACGATCAGTTTTAGTACAGCTTTCTTAAATTCAGGCCATTAGCCCTTCTTTCAGTAAATGGTGTTTGTATGCAGTTTTTGATTGGTGTAATTATAGAAAGACTTGAGAACAATTAATTTGTATGTTTATATTTGCAGGAATTATTTGCTGAATTTGGTACAATGAGGAATGCAGCAGTTCACTATGATCGCTCGGGAAGATCGTTGGGTACTGCCCATGTTGTTTTTGAGCGGCAAGCAGATGCTCACAAAGCTCTTAAACAGTACAATGGTGTTCATCTCGATGGTCGACCTATGAACATCACTTTGGATGGTGCGTCTGTCGGGATGAGAAATACTGCACCTGTCAAGAGACTCTCACAAGGACCTCGACCTGTTTCTGGTTTTGGTAAGTGATTTTTTTATTTGTTATTTATGTATTTATTTTTTAAATCATGGGCCCCAGAAGTTTGTGCATGTTCTAACAGACTATTAAAAAAATTTAAAGGCACAGCTAAAGAGTTGGTAAGTGGGTCACAGCGAAGTTACGAACCGTTTGTGGATCATCGTAATCTGATCGTAACTCGGTGACTGTCTGTATAATATTTTCCTCTGGTCAGTAAATACTAATGTCTTTAGTTTCCTAACTGCCAGCTTCTGTTATCAACAAAATGAGACCTTTGTCTTCTAACCTAGTTTTTAATATTTTCCCATTAGGTGGTCGTGGAGGCGGCAGAGGTATGCGTGGCAACACCAGAGGGGGCAGAGGGACCAGAGGCGGCGGCGGCCGCATTGGTGGTCGTGGCAGAGGCTTTGGAGGGCGGGGAGGGCAAAGGACAAAGGTGCCCACCGCTGAAGAGTTGGATGCTGAGCTTGACGCCTATGTCAACCAGGTCAACAAGTGAGGTAATTGGTGGCCAGGAGTGCAGGCCTTCCATCATCATCATCATCTGGGTACTTTTGTATGGTGGTGCTGACTGCCGGCTGCTGCGACTTGTCTGCCTCAGTGATGGCAGCCATGGTGCTGCTGGGTGTTGGGTCTGGCCTACCAGACCTGAATTGGGCCCAGCGTTGGTGGGGATGTGGGGATGGGTTGTTTTGTAGTGCATCATTATCTCATGTCCATAGGACAGGAAATTGTTGTGGAAATATTTTGGTCATTCAATGAAAAATTGGCACAGATTTAAGTGATCTTGAATTTACTTTTAAATGTTGCAACAATATTTCTATATAGTATATGAGAACTAACAGCTTGTTACTCAAAAAATGGCACAAATTAGTGATCTAGAATGTGTAAAAATATGCATATTTTGCAAACTTATGGCTTGTTGAGAAGATTAAGTTAATAGTAAATCTATTTTGAATTGAAGTGTTGCAGTTCCACATAAAAGAGTGGAACTGCTGGTGTACACATACTACTGCACAAATGCAAGTTGATTTGGCATCATCCAGTCCAAGGGCAGACTTCAAGAAAGAAGCACTAACAAGTTATTCCTGGACGTGTCAAGTTTTGGAAGTGTTACTCCCAATAAAGTGTTTGAAGTGTCAAGACCTGAAGACCAAGCAAGATTACTCAAGAAATCAAGAACACTGTGAAGATTGACAACTAAAGTAATAGTTTCATGAAGCCTCCAAATAAAACCTGGAGACATGGTATCCACAGAAGACGCCAATAAAACACTTGACCTCTAAAGAAACAGTTGCATTATAAGTAGGGCTAATGAATTACTTGTTTACAGTACATGTAAAAAAAATAGTGGATTGTTCAATCTTTACAAGGGATTTTGTACTGACATTGTTGGTTAATTCTTAATTTAGCTTTTAGATGGTCCCATGTAATTTCTTTGCTAAGTTTGATTGTGCCAATTTATTTCATCGTGCCTTAATATGAAAGATATATGCCCCATGGCTGTGATTAAAAGGAATTTTTTGATGCAAATAATAAAAAAAAGATGGACTGGACGTTGTGAACTGCTAGACCTCATTCCCAAGCGAGTGCCATATTTTCATACCTTGCTGTGACTGAAAGCAAAATTTGTGGCTGCAAAATGTCCCTTACAACGAATTATCGGATAATGGCTTTCTGCAAGCAACTTGGGGTTGGTGATGGTTTGGGGTGAAACGTGCCGTGGTGGTAAACGAGGTGAGCCAGGGCCCTCCATAACCCCATCGACGGTTGTGCGGAGACTAGTGTGGTGTGGCGGCTACAGGCAATCTTCCCAACTGTCTCGCCGATCCCACTTCCCTGCCTGCCACCACCCAAGTATCCTGTGTCTTGTTCTTTTATATATTATTTTCTGTAACTTTCATGCTTCATGCTTGTTTGCAGTGCAGTAAGTAGAGAGACTGTTCATATATATTGTACAAAATTGACTGTCATTCATTGCATGACAAAGGTAATTAATGCAACTTTTAGTTTTATTCATGCGTTAATTTCAGTTTCTTCCACAGCAGATCTTGTTGGGTCGTGACTGAAGGGCGAATCGATGGGCGCTTACTGGCAAATCACGTATTGACAGTGGACAGGGGTGTCCACACAACATGTAACATGTTACCTCTGATAATAAATTAGGAATCATTTAAAAAATTTTGGACAATCTGTTCTAGACTTGTGTTGGCATTATTTGTCTATTTTATGAAGATAACATTTATATCTCGTGTAATTACAAATGTTCTTTGTTTACAAGAGCACATTAGATTTAAGTAGGTGTGAAAGTATTGTATGGTGAATGAATTTGAGTCATCAGTTAGGTCATTAAGTACAATTGTCCAATGCCAAAAGCACTTTGAAATTACTTTTTTTTGTGAATAAAATTTGTGTATTGGAGTAAATTATTTTCATTTTGCAACCGTTTTGATGTGTAGATGACACCCTAATACGGTAGTTGTTTAGATAAACTGGTTCAAATTGATGTACATATATAACCAGTAGAAATATTTGAAGGAAACTACCATATGAAAACATTCCAACAATGAGATGAAGTTTAGTTCAAACATGCCAGCTCTAAATGTAGTTATTGAAGAGAATTTTGAAAGATCGGAGGAAAGTTATATGAATACAAAAGTAAAAAGTTTGTGAATGATCATTGCAAGAAATACCTAGGATAAAATGGTACTGGTGTTAATGCAATATTAATTAAATACATTGGAAATGAAATTGAGATGGGTCTAAGCGATTTGGCTGCATTAATATTTAATGTAGACTCGATCTTCCATTAATGTAAGGAGCTGTAAGGTGTAAAAAAAAAGGTGGTGTTAACTGATGAGTAAGAACTTATGAAATACTGTATGGGTATGACGAAATGAGGTAATTCCATCAACAGACTGCTCTCTTCCATTGTTGAGGACAGTTACTTTGTCTCTACCCACACAGGCACTCCCAGTGTGAGTTAATAACAAGTAAAATTTGTGGTGGTGATTGATTTATAATCATAATAGCTTGGAATTTATATAATTTCATCAAAGTACTGAATTTTCATGATTATTTCTTTGTATTTTTTTCCGTGGTGTTTTTACTGCCCATTTTGAATATAGAATAAATAAGTATATAATCATTCAGGCCTACAGGTATACGGTGTACAATCAAAGACAAGTCTTGTTACGGTTTGTCCAAAGATTAAATATATTTAACTCGTGAAACATTATGAGATCCCCCTACCACAATGCACCAAAGTTTAGCCCTTCGGCATATGTTTTCACCAAATTTCACGATACGACTTTTGTCTTTTATTGTACATAGACCATGGAGGTATAGTTCGAAAAAAGGCATAAACCTTAGAATCCACGTGTCGCAAACAAGAAACTAAACAATTTAGTTAGACATTAAAGAAGTGTTGTAGTGTACTGTACTCCGGGGGTCACCAATTGTAGCGTACTGTATGTGGCCAGTTGTCAAATTCTGTTTGTCTATTTCTCTTTGTATGGGCTCACGTACGTACGTACATGTAAGATATCTCACTCGGGATGGAGGTAAGATTAGAAACAAACGATGCGTTTTGTAAGAACGTAAGAATATATTGTATGTACAGTGCAGTGCTAAGGAGTTGGTGTGGTGAGAAGCTTGCTCAGAGGTCCTGTTGGATGAGGAGCTGGTTGGTGAGGAGCTTGGTGAAGGAGCTGGTTGGTGAGGAGCTTGGTGAAGGAGCTGGTTGGTGAGGAGCTTGTTTGGAGGTCTTGCTGGTTCAGGAGAGTAGAGTAGACCACTCCGCAGATAGATAGATAGATAGATAAATGCTAGTGACGGGGGGGGGGGAGGATAAAGAGAGGATTGAAGTGAATTTTAGAGGGAGAGGAAAGATGCAGTGGCTAAACACCGCTTGCGTTATTTTGGGTTTTAAGTTTGAGGCGGCAGCAACCTGCCTGGAGGGGGCAGTACTCCAGGTCAAAAGTCAGGTGCGTGTCGTTGGGCAATGGTTTCTCAGTACTTGGTCGGCTTGATTGAGTGTGGTGTTTTCTTGTTAGCTTGAAGTTGATTTTTTTTATTCCCTCCTCGTCTTGCTCTCTTGGACTGTCCATTCGGTAGTGTTTGGGTCATGTTCTTCGTCGTCGTCGTGCCCTTGGTGTTCGTAGATGTGGATGAAGTCAGAGAGGGTGATCTTGATGAGGCTTCTGCCCCTGGGGTCTCGTGGTGTTCTTGTTTCTTGATAACGTGTGTCTTTTCGCCAGGCCTACGCGTATTTATATGGTTGGTCAGGATCAGGGAAGTGAAGTGTGCAGGGCCAATCACCGTGCAGTTAGCGAGAGAGGCCTTGTGTGCTGAACTCGTCGCTGCTTGGGAAGGTCAGAAATCAGTGCTCAGTAGTACCCCTACGTCCGCACCTGAGATCTAGTCTTGATGTAGCTGGGGCTTCTACTACCTGTAAGCGAACGGCAGGTGATCAGTTGTTGGGGGGAGTATCCACTACAGTGTGACGAACATTTTACACATCACCAGCTCTCGGGGTCGCTTTACAAAACATCAGTTTTTAGATGAATAATAAAATTAATCCTTATAGATAGGATATAAAGAAGCTAGAAATTAGGATAATATTGTATATTTCTTTGTTACAATATGGAACCGAAAGAATTTTCTAAGGCTTTGTCGGCTATGGCGACATAATTTTGTTAATTGTATAATGTTGAGGACATGAAATTAACGTGTACACTATCATCAATTGTATTCTAATTCAATGTTTTCTAATTAAGTCAAATTAAGTATTGAAAAAAGTTGGTTTGTCATGATTATAGACTATGCAAACATACTTCATGTGTATAGACAAATTATGACGAGAGAAAAATATAATAATACGTGGAGGTAGATGTAGAGAGTATAATAAAACACAGTGATAATAGGTGGAGAGGGCGGGGTACAAGTGACTCGTGGATCCCTAATACAACTAGACCATTGTTTACACTGTACACAGCTGACTGGACCAGGGTTAGTGTTGGACATATACCACGAACAAGAATATAAGTTAATTTCATCATAAAGTGATTCAATCAAGTCAAACTCTACCTCCAACTGATTAAATATATCTCATGTTTATTAGGTTAACATGTCAAAAAGTGGTATAAGTTTATAAATAATTTGGCATTATGTTCTTGGTATATTTATAACATTGGCCATCATGCCAGCTGATTGTCATGTGGTCGTGATTCGTCAGCTGTGCAGTGCTTTGTTGTGTGCCAAAGAGGTGATGCTATAGTGATGATGTTAGTGCTTTAATGGTAAGTATTATGACTAGAAATATATTGGGAGATCAAAATACTCAATGTAATGATGGTAAATAGAAATTAGTGTTGACTATATACGCTCAAAGAACAAAGTATTAAGAGTTTGAATGGTTAAACTGAATAATGTTGATTGGTGGTTAAGCAAGGAATGGAGTGTATTATTGTACCGTTATTATACACCATGAATAGTTATGTTACAGTTTGATTGTATAAATGAAAAGTTGTTTCATACTCTGAGGCTTTTAGACCTTTTCCATCCCAGGAATTGCAACTTATGTATTTTTTTTCTGTAGTGTTCTTGAGAAATTCTAAGTTCAACTTCTGTTATATATGATGATCTTGCTTAAATCCCTGTAAAGTATGATATTAAACCTTTATGTATGTTAATATTGTTGATCCTTTGTTAGGTATGATATTGTTTAATCCTTTGTTAGGTATGATATTGTTGATCCTTTGTTAGGTATGATATTGTTTAATCCTTTGTTATGTATGACGTTTATCCTTTGTTATTTCCAAAGTTTTTGTTTAAACATTTGTTATGCAGTATGTTCAGGAAGAGTTGATATTGATCATGAACTTTATTAGATAGATAGACCGTTATTTATTCAGTAAAATCATTATACAAATTCGCATTGGTTCAGAATATACTAAGGCAACTCAGTTTTATTGACACTCCACTAACCACAGTTAACAAATGCTCAGTAAACTAACTCAAAAACATTTACTATATACAGTATAGTGGTGCCTCTACTCAGACATTTACCTTAATAACTAATAGTCATTGTAAATCAGATTTTTTCAATATTTATACAAGATAGTACTGTGTTTTTATATTTTTTACTTCCTAAATATATGATGCAAAAAAAAAACTTTACTAAAGGCTGTATACAGTACAGTACAGTAATGATCTACTGTACTGTATTGTAACCTTTAATTATACCTGTACATGCAGAATGAAGTGATAAGGCAATGGCTTTGCTATGATGTATTATCTTTATTTACAAGAAAATATCCATCTCTATTTTAAATCTGCAAAATATATTGAATTACTGTATTAACTATACAATATTGTATGTCTTCAAAATATAAGAGGTGTGCCATGTTTATAGATAAAGGCTAATCTTATCTCTATTACAGATTGTGTCAATTGAGATAAGGCAATGTGTCAGATGGATTATATTTACAGTCCCGTTGTCATTAGTCGAGACCTTTGGAAGTGTTACGTTGTTGCTGCCAAAGTACTGTATCTGTTATCTCTTGATGCAACATTTATATTTCCTCTACTCCCCAGGGAATGATATGTATTGGTGCTGATGAGTTAACTGCAGCTGTGACTGGTTCTGACTCCAACCAAATTGGAGCAGACCCTTTGTGCACTTGTGCAATATAAAAAATGGCTTCCCATGTATATGCTGTAGAGGTTGAAGACATTCCCCTGAATGAAGGTAAGTATTACTATTGTTGTTTTATAATTTTTGGTGAATTAATGGTAGTTTAAAAGCAGGTCCCATAGGCATGACTACCCATTAGGGAGGAGTGTGGTTACAGCATGCTGTTCACTAAGGCTTCAGTATACTGTATAAGGAGGCAGTGTGTTTGGTATTGCACTGACCGCCTTTACTTTTATAACGTTGTGAAGTTAAGTACTGTACAGTACAGTGCTGTACCCATTTACAGCAGGGTAGACTGGGAGGGCCCCATAACTGAACCTCAAAAATGGAGGTGTGTGTTGTAGGTACTCAATTGGCTGCCTCACTTTAAGGTTTAGAAGATAAGAACATAAGAATGGAGAAAACTGCAGCGGGCCTATTGGTCCATACTGGGCAGTCCCGTTTACACCCAACCCCTATCGCTCATATATCCATCCAACCTATGTTTGAAGCTATCCAGCGTGTTCGAGTTAATGACGACGATTGGTAACTTGTTCCACTCATCCATTACTCTATTTCCAAACCAATGTTTGTCCATCTCGCGCCTAAATATAAATTTGTCCAATTTAAAACCATTGTGACGAGTTTGCTCCTGGATGGATAGTTTGAGTACCTTTGTTATATCACCTTTGTTTATACACCTGCATTCTTTTCAGCACTGTACCTCAGTGTTATGATGACAAATAAAATTACATTGAAATACAGTTCACCCAACTGTAAATGTATATCTAACGTTCTAACTTTTTAATTGGGGAAAGTGAAGATGGGTGAGTGCACTGTCGGCCACACTGCCTCCTTGTGAACCAGGGGCTTAGTGTGCAGTGTGCTGTGTCTACACTGCCACTAGTCAGGCCTATAGAACCCACTTTCATAGGTCATAATGGTGGAACAAGTCAACAATAACAGTTTTTGTTACTGGTTATCATATGTTGTATGAATGATTAGCTATCATGAGAAATACAGTTTACTGTGTTGAGGATAAGTAATTAATTGTGTGCAATTTGTAGGATTGTATTTTATGATAACTTTTGAGTTTTATACATGGCTATAAGATGATAATTCAATAGCAAATTATTGTATCTACATAATCCCAAATCAATTACTTTGAAATTAAACTCTAAATTTGTCAAATGACGTGATATTTTTTCATCAGTAAACTCTAATAAGCCACCGTAGTTAACATATGTTGCAAAAGTTTATATTTTTATGGATAATTAGTTACACAATCTTTATTTTATTCAGTCAACTACGAACAAACAAGTTCAAGTGACGAAGATTACAGCCATGTACACTTACGACGAGCTCGTACCGATGTCCACCTGAGTCAGAGACGCAGCCAAGACTCGATAAGATATCACTCGTACAATGGCCGAGAGCACCACCTACAGCACACGTTACCCTCGCGTCATGAAGGTAAGTCTGAGGGATTGTGGAAATTTCTCAGTCACTGTCCTTTTTATTGATAAATTTTGTGCTTAAAAATCAGTTAGAAGAAACATTACATATAATAGTGAATGATTTTGAAAGAATATGTCCTAGGAGAATGTTTGTTTGTTGTTAATGTGATTAAAAAAAAGGGGGATAAAGTGAGTCACATCCTTCAAGGGTTCAAGAGGAGAGAGAATCTATTTTAGAGGGTTAGTTAACTAGCTGTTCACTATCACTTCAGAGTCATTTACACAAACTCATACCCCATTTTGAGTAAGCCTCACTGTGCACTACATAAGGGAGGCATTTCTCTATGATTTATATAGTATTGAACCCTTTGCACTCTCATCAACGTTATGTAAGAAGATCCAGTCAAAACAGAATTTAAAGGCCCATGAACTAATCTCAAATTCCAGTACAGAATTACAAAATACAACGTACGGAAAGTATCTTATCTAGGTAACAGAAAGAGAATGATGAACCAGAACTAATACAGTACAACTTGACCCAATAAACACAGCAACCAAACTAACTTACGTCTCTGACTCTCATTGACCATGTCTGTCATTCTCATCTGACTATAAAATTTACCCATTATAGTCTGTTGCTTCTTTTCATGTACCTTTTTAGTAACCTGTCGCACACATAAGGTCCATTCTTCCCTGCCATCACCTTTACGCTCTTAACAACCCAATCTCTCAGGTTTTTAAATATATACAGTAGTTCATTCTTCACTTATGTACTGACCTGTGATTATTTACAGTCCATTCCTCTTATAGTCTAATTACTCCACAGCTAAGTTAGAAGACCTGTGCATATATGGCTTACAACCTGGTAATCATTCAGAGTTGATTGTATACTGACATTGTTACACGCTTAAAGACCTTAGTTGTTTAAGCGCAGTTACAACATTATGTATTTTTTTTTACTGTATTTTACTCTCATACAGTAAACCACATTCAACTTTGTAATACTGTACTTGAGTCGTTTACGTATTATTGTTTGGCCGTACATTATTTTTATTACTTCGGAACAGCAGCAATATACCTGAAGCTCTAGGTACCACTATTATTGTCATGGTCTTCCTCTAGAAGTTTAAACATGTATTGAAGTTTACTAAAAATATATAGTCCTGTATGCTCAAGATAACATTCCTCTTACATGCTGGTATTTTGATGTCATAGAAAGAACAAATTAAACAGAGAATCTTCACACACACACTGTACATTACTTCACAGAAACTTGCAGTGTAGTTCCATTTTTTTTTCCATTCTTTCAAGTACAGTTTTAACCAGCAATGGTACAGGGTGGCTAGAATGAAGGGTAATTCATATTTTTCCTTCATTCCTTGCCATACTTTATCCCTTTTCTTGTTTAGCTGTTTTATCAGATGTATTTCACCAAGTTGTTCTATTTCTGTAACAAAATCCCATATGGTAAATTTGTGTCACTTCATATAGCTCATCATCACACAACACACTGGATAGACCAACTGCCCGGATGAGTAGTAAGCTGTTAAGTGACAAAAATATAAAAGAAAAACAAAAAAACATAGAACACTCAGTATATGGATGCTTATGTTGGTGTTGCTATGTGGCTTGTATATGTTGGTGTTGCTATGTGGCTTGTATATGTTGGTGTTGCTATGTGGCTTGTATATGTTGGTGTTGCTATGTGGCTTGTAGACTGTGCCATTAATAATTGTATTTGATGTTCGGTCTCCCCTCACCCTGTTATCTAGCCTTCCCCAGCGCAGGAAATGACATGTCAGGAAGTCACTTTATTTCTGAGCTTGTGTGTGACGTATGTGTGTTTGTAGTTCGTCTCCTTATTTGTGACACTTCAGCTAATTACCAACAATGTTATTTCAAAGTTCATTTTCTTTTGTTAGTAAATGTTGAGGTTCAAATGGTGTGCTGTACAGTATAATAATATATAGCAGATTTTTGGCTTGAGCTTATCATCAACCGAAGGTCTCGTAATGTCTGCAAGATATCTCCAACAATGATTTAAGTCGCAGTCTACTTTTGGAATTAGATGCAAATGTTTAATACTGTACTTGTTAAATTTAGCGAGGGAGGTTCTCATTAAAACATGCACTTGGGTGTGAAAAGCTGAACTTATATGTCCTCCATTAAAAAATCTCTTGACATTACCTGTAGTTTTTTATTTCAACAGCATTTTTTTTTTAACTGTGCTGTGATAATTCGACATGGGTAATCCTGTATCCTCTTTATACTGTACTAGCCATACGCCTTGTTGTTATTGTGTGTTCTTGTGTCTATGAACCGAGTCTGTGTGTTCTCGCCCAGTATATCATTGCACTTTTAGAAATACTCTCTGCATTGTTATAACCTTATCATCTATGACTCCAAGTTAGTTTCGTGTTTCCTGTTTTTTTTTTTTTTTTTATGTTCGTATCATGGTTAAGTTACGTTAGGTTGGGTTAGATTTATTGGTTGCTTGAGTTGGCTTAGATTGGTTAGGTTAGGGTGGTTGGTAAGATCAGGTTTGGTTGGTTGGTGGCTTGAGTTGGTTTAGATTGATTAGGGTAGGCTGGTTTGTGGCTTGAGTTGGCTTAGGGTTAGTTGGCTAAGTTATGGTTAATTAAATAAGACTGAAATATCTTGCGTATATTTGGCGAGACTTTCAAACTTACATTTGTTTTACCGAACAGTTCTTTGATCAGACCTCTATATTTTTCCATGAAATTTGGGTTTTTTTTTTTTTTCCGTCATATATAAATCACAAAAGAAATAGTCACTATGGCACACACGTCAGTTGAAAGTATTGAAATGCAGTTCTATGAGCCCGTGGGGCGAAGAGTCAGGTTTGCCGATGATGAGTGCAGAGGATCAGGTATGTAAGATTCTATGTATAAATTAACCAATCTGTAGATCATGTTCCTTTTATGATATCTGTAGACTGTATTCCTGTATATATTCTTTGTACACATCCTGGTGTGCTGTACTTTATGATAATGTTTCAGTTAATGTACCTATTCATATGTGTACAGCAGTATATAGTATAATGGTACTCTACATTCCTTTGCTTGTAATCTGTCTTCATTCTGACCTTGTAAGTTCATTCTTCAGCTGCCTTTACAAGAATACCTCGCTACTGTATTCTCAACCCTGCTTCTCTGCAATTGCTATTTTAACACCTCTATTCAATATTATGATACCTTACAGTAATATTTCAAACTGCACGAGCTAGCCACAGCTCTCGTAGTCCGCTGTAAGGCCCACTTCACATGAGTGCTAATACTGTACCCTCTTCTAGGCATTCAGCAAGTTGCCAGCAATACCCAAAGAATTCATAACCTCCCTAAAGTGTCTTGCTAGTTTATATGATTACTGTGTCACTTAAGTACTGTATGTCCTATTTGATGGTTGTACATATAAATCTTCATCTGTGAGGATAATGCTCAATTTCCACTTTGTAGATGTGGGTTGGCAATAGGAAAGTTATGCAACCATAAAACTTGCTTAAATTTGCCAGTGTGGAAAATGGCTGTGAAACTTCCATGATGATTAATTAGATTTTACCCACCTATTGCAGTACCCACAGATTCCCTCTTAGTCTTGATGCCCAGGCTGTAACAAGATAAGATAAAAGCTATTAGGATAACAGGATGTTTATAAAATGTGAAAACTACCCAACTAACATTGCAAGAAGTATAATGAAGACTTGAAAAATATCTTGAGGGGCATATGATGTTATAAAATCCTAAGCAGTCTTTTAGGGCTTTAGTCACAGTCTTTCTATACACTTTACCAAATGCACTGTAGAGGACTTGCTGTTCCATAACTCTACCTCATTGTTTAACTCTACCTTCCTATAGACAGTGATATAATTACTGTTTTCATCCAGTTATCTAGTGTAAGTCCACTACCTCCTACCTTATTACATGTCATGCATCTAATCATTAATGCTTCATCCATCTGTGTTTTTCGTCATTTTATTCACTAATTCATCCACTTGTTATTTTTCAGTATTTTTTAATAAGACAATGTTTTGTGTAAGCAGAAGCAACTTCATGTACATATTTGTTTACAGTATTACTTTCTCTCGTGTTAATGTAACTAACAAACTTTTTATTAACTTAGTGCTGTATTGTGTTATTTAAGAATAACTTTTCCTTCCAGGAGAACTTCTCAGCACCCACACCCTTCATTATGGCAGTGAACATCGACCTTCTGCCTGGTTCAACACCATGATAGCTCGACGAAGGAGAGGTGTAAGCCCCAACACCGAGGAAGAGGCCGTAGATGAGATTGCTGAGGCCATGGTGGGGGATGAGAAGCTTATGTCAGATGATGTGGACGGGGAGTTGAAGATGAGGTGAGACAGGACACCATTTAATGAGTTCCACTCTGCTTGTCATTTTTATCAGTGGCAAACAACCCAAAGAAACTGATGATCAAAATATTTATGTGATATATTTTACCTTCAGTCATGTCTATAATGTTTGTATTACCTTTACCCAAGCTATGAATAGAGATTGTTAATAGGAATGATTAAAGTGTGAAGGGAGATGGATGTTGATACAGCACTTGTGGTGTTAAAGTGGTGTAGTGAGAGAGGTTATGATTAGTAGCATGATAAAGAAGTTATTTAAACCCTTCACTAAATGGATGCCACTTTTAAGATTTTGTTTGGCTAAGGCCACATGATTTTATTCAGCGCAGAGAGTCCCCCATACACAAGGGGTTAATAGAAGGAAGTAGATTTGTTGGTGATCTTGTCTACAATATACAGTAGTATAGGAAAGTCATTATAAATACTGTATCACTTAATAGATTTAGACTGAATTAACAGAAGTATTCCAATTGTATCTTTCTCATCGTTCTAGGGAGACGCTCCGGGAGTTAACCAAACCCTTGCGAGTGAAGAAGGAATTACGGAGAAAGCTAACCGCCCGTCGGTCTTCACACCGCTCCGCTGCTCAAACCATATCCAGGATAAAGTACCTCAAGTACAGCATTAGCATGTGGTGGTACAAGGTATGTGGACAGTTACACCTACAGTCTTAACATCAGATTTTTCATGTTTGAGTTTTGCGCATATCTGTTGTCCAGCAAAAATGTTACGGGTTTATCGTATTTGTGATTATGAATGAGGATGAGAATTATTTTCATGCTAAATACTCTAACTTTAAATGAGTATTAATGAGTGCAAGATAGATTTGTAATTAACATTGACCTGAACAAGTATTACTGTTCAATATCACGATAGGAATAATACAAGTACGTACACGTATACTGTATATATCTGTGTCACTTTCCTGATTTACTTTAGGAAGAATGATGGAAACTTGTTTTAAGAGTTAGTGATCACCACATTTTGGTACACTACTGTATGGAGAGTATAGATTCAATATACACTACTGTAGTCTGACTCCAGTGTCTCATCTACATAAAGTTTTTGAGCAGTATAACTTCTTAACATATTATGAGCAGTTTTACTTCTTCTTAACATTTATTGCAAAAAACACAAATGTTCTCTGCAATGATCAGACTTTATTTGTACTGATTTTTAGGTTCTTATTTAAAATATAGTAAATTAATCATTTAGGGTTCTCGAATACTGTAAAAAAAAATACCCTGCAAATCAGTCAACCAAAATAAAATCTCATGATCTTTAATTTAACTTAGAAAACAAAACCAGCTTCACAGAGATTTAGGAATATTTTGAAATAGAAAGACTCCGCCATCCTCCATCGCTAATGACATTTCCTTCTCTTGTTGTTACAGCTACGTCAGTCGGTGCGTGACACAGTTCATGACTACAGTTTGTGGCACAAGGAGCTTAAAGAGATTGAAGGGACATTTGGGACTGGAGTCGGCTCATACTTCAGGTTCCTGCGTTATCTCTTCCTCCTTAACCTGGGTATTTCTTTCCTTGTGTAAGTAATGTAATGTTGTATTTTCTTTTAATATCATTGTTAACCCCCTTTTTTATGGGGGCGTCTCTGTGCTGCATAATACCGACTGACATAAGCCAAATAAAATAATAAAATGGCATATTCATAGTACAGTGGTCCCTCGGTTAACGAGCACAATCCGTTCCAGCAGGTTGCTCGTTAACCGAAAAACTCGTTAACCGAAACCATTGTTTCAATGGGTTTTTGGGTAATTGGTTCCAGCTCACCGAAAATTGCCTAAATTCAACAAAAAAGGTAGAAAAGTACACTTACTTTGAGGTGTGTATGTAGAAGGCTCCTGGATGATGATGATGATGATGGGAATTAGAATGGGGGTGGAGGAGAAGGAAGAAGAGAAGGCATTGGGGTGGAAGAGAAGTCACCCCATGGCACCATTTCACCCATAAAATTTTAGTTCTCTTGGTGTATTTCAAGATTATTTTCTTTAAATCAACAATGCACTACATTATATATTGTCAATATGTAAAATATATTTCAAAATGACCAATAATTTGCTTGGAAACACAGATAAAAAGCGTTTAGTTGAAGAGAGTCTCAAGCAAGATGTTACCTCCACGGAAAACAGAGAGAGACTAACGCCTGTCTGGTGTGTTAACAGGCTGGATGGCACGCCAGAAACTAGTTTCTTTACCTTCAGTTATGTTCAATAATTGTTAAAATGACTAAAAAAGTTAATATTAAACTTTTAAAATTATTGAATCGTATAAACTTCTTGATATTTACTAAAATAGTAAGGAATTTAAGCCCTAAAACCGATTACTGTATTGGCGGACTAATACTACAGCTGGTGGACCGCCAAATGCAAGCGAAAACATGTTGAAGTCGGCTCGTAAAAAACTCGTTAATCGAGGGACCACTGTACATTTTGTTTGGTACATACTGTATAAGAATCACATCTGACAATTGCATTATTTTTGTTTAAGTAATAATTTTGTGATAGACATTGTTTAGCCTTTGAGAGTGCTGGGGTTAGCTTGGGAGGGTTGGGTCGGATTAAGTTTCTGGAGATTAGATTTGGTTATGTTTGGGGAGGTTTGGTTTGGGTGTTTAGGTTGGGTTAGGCTTCATAAGTTTGGGAGGGGTAGGTTGGGGGTTAGGATGGGTTATATTTTGGGTGGTTAGGTTGAGTTAAGTTAGCATTAGGGTATTTAATCATCAGTTGAATTTATCTTGGGTGTTTAGTCTTCAGGGGAGGTCCAAATATTATTGTTCATAGTGTTACATTTACTAGAATTTCCGAAAATCTTCTGCTCGTCAGGTGTGGATTCCTCTTGACACCTCAGCTTCTGGCTCACGCACGTGTTAATGATCCACCGAGCGCCAATAATACGGCAGCTCTGGTCTTTTTGGTCAACGACGGGTCTGGTAAGTATCGTATCTCTGAAAATATGAGACTTATTATTGGTTATCTCTTCAGTGTTAAAAAGAAGTTGGTAGCCAATCAATTTTAATTAGGTCTCTTTCTGATATAATTCTCTAATGAGTCAGATCACCTATAGATTAGTCCCCCAGCTTGTATCACATTATGAATAAATGCCCTAAAGGTGCCTAAAGCTATGTTATGGTATGCTAGGTTAGGTTATGTAATGCAGGTAAGTGGTAGGGTGATTTAGCTTAATGTGAAATAAGCTGGGAGTTAGGTTAATTTATGTTAAGTTATATTGTGTTATACAGTGGGGTATGCTATAACGAACGGATCCTACTATGAATATTCCTATAACGAACGGTTTTACCTATAAAATTGAGAATGCTATAACGAACGAAACTCCTACAGCGAACATTATTTAAAAAAAAATTTTTTTTTTTTTTTACTAATTTATTGTTTTTTTATTACAAATATTGATGATATTCTTTATTTCAGGGGTTTAGATGCATATTTATGCACTTTTTTACAATTTTTACAATTTTATATTATATTTTTCAGTGTTAAGTGGTTGTATTTGGGGGCCTGGAACGGATTAATCCTATAACGAACGAATGCTATAACGAACAAGGTTCTAGAACCAATTAGATTCGTTATAGCATACCCCACTGTATTAAGTTAGATTACGTTAGTATTAGGGTAGTTAATCTTAATATTAAATAATCTAGGGGTTATTCTTCATGTGATCTGTAGCAGGGGTGGAAGAAAGCATGTCATAGATGATTTATGACAAGACACTGATTTAAATGTTAAAAATGTCATAATGAGACCACAAGAGTACAGAAATCAAATACTGTAGATGTGAGAAATCATAAAACAATAAAAAAAGGTCTGTTTCAAGTTAAATTCTTCTGCAGCATTGTATTTGGGTTAGATATGGAGAAATAAATCTAAAATAAACTTACAGTGAGTTCTGCTATAACGCGTGTTTTGATAACGCGAATTTGCTCTAACGCGATTTATGAATTCGGAACAATATTTGTATAACGCGATCGCTTGTTTGCTATAACGCGATTTTTGCTTACTATTTCTCCAATTTTGTGGTATTAACTGTGAATATGGTAAAGAAGAATATCTCCAAAAAGCATTCTGATGATAGAATTCCCGGTGATTATCGTAAAAGAAAGGATATAACACTTGAAGAGAAGCTTGATGTTATCAACCTCAAAATCACCCTTCTCCCCCATCAAGTTACATTCATATTTTTTCAAGGTAAAGTGTTAAATTTACTGTATGATTTCATTATTAGATATGAATGTAACATTTATTTAGACTGTGCTATCCTTTGTGTTAGGCTAACTACTAAATTTTTTCGATTTCGAGTAAACTGCACCTAACCCTATTTTCTCCATAAGCCCTGTTATTTCTATTACGCGATTTTCTATAACACGATATTTTACAAGAACACAATTATCGCGTTATAGCAGAACTATTTGTACTGCACTTAAATTTGCTTTCATAAGACCAAAATATAAGTGTTAGCAGGAGTTCTTCTGTTTATGTACGTTGCAGCATGTTCTTATAGGTTGTGTTTAAAAAATATATATTCTATAGAGTTATATTATATATTTTACTGACGGTCAAGAATGTAGTTCATGGGACCTATCATGTGTATTTAAATTTTTAATCTCTTGCCAAATATTCCTGGGAACCTATAAACTGTATACTCATCACTTTATTTATTAAAGAATTATTATTATTAAAAAGATTCGATTTTTAAGAATTTTCAGTACTGTAGTCCAGGTGATGCACAGTAATTGCATAGAAAAATACAAATAGGACTAAAGTTTTCAGTTCATAATATTATAATATATCAATATGTATTAAGTGTATATCCCTAATTACTGCTCACAGATGCAATATTTGGTCATTTATTTGTTATTTTGAGGGTTGAAGAGGAGTTTAAAAAGTATGTACAATACAGTGCATTACAGTAATGTGAAAATGCAAGTATTACCATAATTTATGACATTCATAACACTTAACCATGTCAAAAATTGCTTTTTAATCATTTTATTTCAATCATGGAGTGTAGTAAGTTTGGGTTCTTCTGATCATGGTTGTTGAATCCTCTCATTCTTCTCTGTTTTAAATAGAGTAATTATTTTGTCACAGTCAATCTGTTTTATAAAATTTAATTTTACTAAACTTTCCTTTCATTGATTACAGAAATGATTGCGTCAGCCATGCGGGTGAGTGATTCTCTTCCCAACACAAATATTGCCGACCCATCACTCACCTCCCAGAAGAGTGACGCAGATGATGCTGACAGTTCTACCTCTTACACAGACAATGGGCAATTTGGTGCTTTAGACTGGCTGACTGGGGCTGTAAGTTTGAAGTTTTGTTTATTCTCCATTCTCCTATGGATGAACAACTTGTAGATCTTAGACCTCAAGACAGTATATAGGAGGCTGTGACATCATTTTGAGCAGTTCTTTGTAAGTGGAAAATTAATAAACACTCACAGAACTGGTCCAATATTATCATAGCTTTTAATGAGAATTTTGTATTTTTTATATAATGAAACAAATGCATTAACTTGGAGTATTAGTATCTAAATGTTCTTGTGTATAATCTCCATTGTACAGTTCCTTTTGTAGTAGTGTAAGTAGTGCATCATAACTATAATACTCTATAGAGATTGTTTTATGCCTTAGAACCATCTCCTCAGGTTTATGATTATCAATTTATTATGTCGCTTTGTTGACCTTTTACTTTCACATGTTGCAGCACCATTTGACATGATCGATCTTCTGTTTTGCTTGCTTGATTGTGAATGTTCCTCTGTCTTTTATGTGTTTATTTTTTTACAGTATTTTTTTTTCTCCCTAGCACAGTATATCTGATTTGTTGGCTTATTGACGTCAACAGTACACTTTAGGACTGTTCTTTTCCATAGTTGTATCTAGAATCTCTCTCTCACTTGTCATTCTATCGTTACTTCTTGCCTACAGGTTTAATCTCCTGAACGGAACACCTCGGCAGGCAATTTATCTCTACTGTGTTTCTTCTCGACTCTGCACAACACCCAGTCATTTCACTTCTGCACAACACCCTCTCAATTCACTTCTGCACAACACCCAGTCATTTCCCTTCTGCACAACACCCCAGTCATTTCACTTCTGCACAACACCCAGTCATTTCACTTTTGCACAACACCCCAGTCCATTTCACTTCTGCACAACACCCCAGTCATTTCACTTCTGCACAACACCCCAGTCATTTCACTTCTGCACAGCACCCAGTCAATTCCCTTTTGCACAACACCCAGTCATTTCACTTCTGCACAACACCCAGTCATTTCACTTCTGCACAACACCCAGTCATTTCACTTCTTCACGTCGACCATTCTCTCTCCGCTCAGTTTTTATTTCCTTGGTAATTGTACTACACCTACACTGCCCTGTGCACCCCCTTGTTATTTTTGGCCTCGCGGAAGTTTAATCTTGTTCTTGGTTGAAATGTTTTACACGCGGTTGTATTTGGCTGAGCTTGTCTGGCAGGTGAATTTAACTATGAAGACTGATATTTTATTTATTTTACTTTTTTCATTGGTTATTTGTACACTTTACTAGATGTGTGAAGCCTTGTTGGTCAGGTAATGGCAACAAATACTTAACAGTAAGATTATCAATGTGATATGATTTTTTATATGAATTTCTTTTTAATCATGCTCTTGTGTGGTCTATGATTAGAGAGTTTTATGAAATGTTTTACTTCTTGCATCTTTCCAAGGAAACTGGATGGTGGTAAACAATGGTAAGAAATAATCTGATGTTTGCACCGTACATAGTTAGTGTTGAGCTTTTGCACCTTCAGTGGAGTGATAAAACACCTGTAATTGTGCCTCTCATATATTTGAAATTTTATATTAGTTTCTCTATTAGTGATTAAGTAATATAGATTGGCTTGTTCCTTCCTTAGTGATGCCAAGTAACCTATCTGGGTATGCTTTAGAAAGGGCATATTATAACCTTGGAGATTTGTTACAACCCTGGCGATAAATTATAATCCTGGAGATTTTTTACAACCCTGGAGATTGATTACAACCCTAGAGATAAATTACAACAATGCAGATAAATTATAACCCCAGAGATTTAATACATCCTTGGAGATTTATTACAACTCTAGAGATATATTAGAATAGTTGAATATTGGTGATGAGTTTATCTTCTGCCATGTGGTGGATCACTGAAAATTCTCTTATGGGAAACATTTGCAAATTCTTAAGAACTGTATATTAACCAACAGTCATACGAGCAGGTGACTCATCCCTATATTAACCAACAGTCATACGAGCAGGTGACTCATCCCAAGTTAATCCCAGGTGATGCTCCTCAACATCCGCGTTCGCCACATCCTTAATTTTTGCGGCGTAGTTTGAACGTCCACGTGGGATGAAGTGCTTTGTATAGGATATTTATTTACTTGGCAACTCAACTCGCACATAATCTTTGTCTCAAGACTAGTGGTCCAGTTATCCACCAGCTATCGTGATGGATGCACGTCCTTTGACGTCTCGTGACCCGCCTCGCTCCTCCACGCCCTCAACAGTAGTGCTATTCATCAAGAGTTGTTTGATTTGAATGGTATTGATATAGTATTGGGTGACGAAGACAGTGATGGGGAGGAAACTGACCCAGAGGATGTCGAGTTTGTTGAGGCGGCCAGCGGTGAGGACAGTGATACAGACAGTGGCGGTCACTCCATCTCCCCACCCTGCCAGCCTCAGGGAGGTCGTGGTGGCCATGGACGTAGGAACCACATGCATGTGTGTGAAATATGATAGTGGAAAAATTAAACAAATGAGTGGGTGACTTAAGTAATGTCAAGAAAACTGACACTACTAACCTGCCTATCTATAACTTATGATAGATGCCTCGGTGTCAATAAGGACTTCTTTTTTATTATTAGAATCCTCAGTGTTTATTTATTGTACACTTTAAGTTGGTTTATTAATAAATTCTTCACATCTTCCATTATTCAGTTACATTGAATTCATCACCAGTGGCCAGAGTCTCCATCCATCCTTTTGAAACAACTCATAAGGAATTCTCTCATAACCACAGTCTTCATTAACATCTAAATACTGTACAGACCTTTAAAACTGTTGTAGCTGTAGGATTATACATTCTTTAAGATTTGAGATATTGCTTTGTAGAGTTTCAGTGTCTTTCTTAACTTCTTTCCCCTCTGAGCTGAATAAAATTAACTGTAATGAAGGGGTTAGATAATGCACCATATGGAGCACCACAGAGAAACAGACGAGGGTTGTGGTGTTTGATGAGGTATCTTGTTGCGGCAGTGTATTTACCATAGCCACTGAAGATTACACGCTCAGTGATGTTACGACTTCATTCACCTACACGACCACCTAATGCTTAGTAATTATTAGTGTACTGTACAGTCATTAGATGTACAGAAATTTATCATATGTTATGAGGAAATCTGCAGAATACAATAAAATCTTTAAATTTATCTGATTTTACTTTTTTTTTTTTTTACAGTGCTGCTTAACATTCAGGTGTGGGTCACTCATACATATGGTGTAATACTCCGTTAAGTAATCCCTCAGTTCCTACTTCACAACTCACTGTCAGAAATAATACATAAAACAACAACACCCTACTGTAACCCCCACAGCTTCCATTATACAGTATACAGTATTCTCATTATCTCATGTATTACAGTACATCTTATGATAATGCTAAGTAATTATGATACACATGTACTTTATTCAACCATTCATTCCTCACAATACCAATTACTGTATACTCCCATAACTTCCTCTTTAGATAATTCACTATTTTTTTTTTAGAATTCTCTCCTTGCAGCTTTACAAAGAGCCAGTTCCCTCCGATATTTATTCCATTTAACAGTGTATATATTTTTTGTAAGTGTATAATCTACCTGCATCCTCTTTATAAAACCATTGCTTGTTTTTAGTTGGTGTTTCAAGAGAACTTTAATGATTAGTTTTTGTATTGCTGTAGTTATAGTGATGTGTTACAGTAGAAGTGCTTGAAGAACCTTACCGGTATCTCAAAAATCGATTGATGAGTTTTTGAAATTTTTAGAGATGAAGGACATTGGTAATTGAGATTTGCATGTGAGGTGATTAGTGGCATGATTGTTTTGTTTTTTATATAAGGATAGATTTTTCTTCTTTTATTTTTCATGTTATTTAAAGTATGGTTTTTCCAAAGCTGGTCCAGGATTTTTTATTTTTTTTTTTAAGGATGGAAACTATTGATATCCAGACTGCAAGTTTTGAGTGCAGTTCTAATTCTCTCTCTCTCTCTCTGTCTCTCTCTTTATGGTGAAGCCAAATATTATTGAGGAATACAAACTTAATGTTTTTGACCCTAATAGCAATGATAACAAAAAACAAACAAGAATATACAGTGAGAAACATTCTTTTTTGTAACTCAGGGAAGAGAATTTAAAAACTTGTAAAAATGAATGATGATTTCTCGGTTTGGGTTTATATAAAAAGAATTATACGTTATCTATATTTTTTTTAATTTTGACCTTTTAAAGTTTTATTCTTGACCACTGAGGTTATTCATACAATGTACTTGGAGAGTGTATGTCAAGATCAAGTACAGTATCTGTCGTTGGTGAGAGTCCATGGGGTGACTGTCAGAACATCTATCAAATTGACAAGTGATTAACATAATAAAGGCACATTTTTTATTTGTCTGGAAATAATAGGATAAAATATGTTCAAAATGACATAATTTGGTATAAAAACTTTCTATAGTTTGTCTTGGTATAACATTTACAACTACAGTACACTTTTTTCAACTCCCATTTTTGTTCTAACTTAATAGTATTTAATAGTCAGTGTAAAAATAAACCCTTGACAAATACAGTGTAGTTTTATATCAAGAGAGTCATACTGTTCTGTGCAATGTTTTAAATATCGTCAAGGTAAGTATGTTTTCAGATGCAGAAATTGATATTCCTGTATAATTATGAGTAAAGTCAAGGCAAATAAAGCTCTCAAATAAAGAGATGACTAGAATTATCACAACGCATGGCTAGGGAAGATCACTAATCCCTAATTACTGTTGTCTGTCGCAGGGCTGGTTTAACAACACGGAGCTTTACTACGGCACATACTTGAACAGGAGTTTTTATCTTGTGACGAACTTGTGGTACAACATCCCCGAGGCTTACTTCTTCGTTATTTTATTGGCTTATATCATCTACTTCATTGCAATCCGTCACAGGTTAGTCAGGGGTGCTATTGTCTTGTGGCCACTGTCAGGGAAAGATTTTGATGGCCACAGTGTTTAGGAGAGATTTTGATGGCCACACTGTTTAGGAAAGATTTTGATGGCCACAGTGTTTAGAAAAGATTTTGATGGCCACAGTGTTTAGAAAAGATTTTGATGGCCACAGTGTTTAGGAAGGATCTTCATGGCCACAGTGATTAGGAAAGATTTTGATGGCCACAGTGATTAGGTAATATTTTGATGACCACAGTGTTTAGGAAAGATCTTGATAGCCACAGTGATTCGGAAAGACGTAGCTTACACCCTCTACATTAACTATGGGAAACAGTGTACCAGATATGGATGGTTTGTGTGTCTAACAAATAATTCCTTTTTTGGGCGGTTGAGAAATATTCACTCATTATATATAAATACCTGTACAAAGAAGTAATTTTTTAATCTTCTTATTTTTTTCTTTCTCTGTCTCTCTGTCTGTCTCTCCCTCTAAACAAAAATATGACTTAAAGATCATCAGTGAATCGCTTGTCATTAATTGAGTTGTACCTCGGTAGGGTGAATGCGCTGTACAAGAATAATTACATCGACATCGAACATGATGTTTCGGCCACGTTTGTGAGGAAGGTATTCTCCTCTTGGGACTTCAGCATCACGGAGAGGAAAGCAGCCAAACTCAAGCACAGGAGTATCTATAATGAGCTGAAGGTAAGGTGAAAGTGAGTTGACTGATTGAGGCAGCATCACTCGAGACAAGGAAAGAGTAAACCATTTTCGAGTCTGGGTTAACTCCTTTGCTGTGGGGGGACACCACTTGTAGTATTTTATTTGGCCCAAATGTAACCCTGTACACAAGGGGTTAGTAGACTCTCTCCACCATCCACTTCATTATGGGGATGCCATTTTTTATATTTTTGGGGGCTAATGCTAGATGGTTTTAGTCAGCTCAGAGATGACCCCATACACAAGGAATTAAGAATCATTGTTGTGCAGATTTTAGAGAGCAACAACATTGCCACTTTTGTTAGGTAGTTTAGGTACAGTTCTTTGATATCCTGTTAAATTAATTTCTATTCAATTCAAATGGAATACATTTTCCTTTTTTTTTAAATGACACACATTTTTAGTTTGATTTATAGAACTGAGGTGTTTTGTACAGGAACTGTTGCAAGAGTTCCTGAACGAGGAGCTGGAGGAGGACTTTTGGAGCAAGGTGATTGGATGGTCCGTTAAATTCGTGTTTTGGGTCATCATTCTGACCTTGCTGGGTCTCCTGGGCTGGGCCACATATCTCATGCTTGACAGTGACATCAACAAGGATATAGTAAGTGATTCCATCGTTTCAGAATGATAAATTAAACAGGTATATTATAGTAAATTATTGTGGTACTGTTCCATACCATGTATTTGGTTAGGTTCAGTTAGTATTGAAATAAGTCTCATGGATATGTATTCTTCTCATGGTTCACAGTTCTAATTGGCCCTACTTCTCATGGGTCAAATTCCTAATGGATCCCAATTTTCTTGGGTCTTATTCCTCATGGGTCCCAGTTTTTATGGGTCTTAGTCCTAATGGGTCCCAGTTCTTGTGGGTCACAGCTCCAGTGGGGAGCTACTCTTCATGTGTTCCCAGGTACACCCACTAAAAAATTATTCGCCACCCTTACGACGTGATACAATATGACACGTATTCCGAATAATTTTTTCGGGGGTGTACCTATCAAATGGAATGCAAGCTGTAGACTAGAGATCAGCTGAAACATTTTGCCATCTTTATATTTTATTAATTTTACTTTGATATACAGTATTGATAGATAGTAAAAGTATGAGGATATTTCATAGTCTTGTTCTTTTCTTTACAGGGAAGTAGTGTACAGTGCTGATAATGTTCTTTTTTTTACAGGGAAATGGATTTAACTTACTAGTGTACCCTTTGATTGTGACGTGTATCATTATGTTCGTACCATCTGTATTTGGCCTCATAGTCAAATTTGAGGGTTACAAAATTCAACGCCACAGGATTTACGTCACTCTCATGCGGTGAGTCATTTGTGTGGAGCATTTTTTTGTGTGTGTTTGTGTAATATTTCTACTTACTATATATATGCATCAGGTCTTTCCTTCCACACCTTGTCCTTGCTATGCATCAATCACCATCCTCAACCATTTTTCCTCATTTTTGATATTTGTTAATCCACCTACATGAAAGTTGGAGAACCATAGAGATAATAGACAAAGTAATATTCATCAGTCATCATAGTGGACATTGACTTAGTTTGTTGGTTGTTTATATATTTTACCCATGTTTTGTCTCAGGACCATTCTGCTCGAACTGACAGTGCTGGGTGTGCTGGTGGGATTCTGGTTTATGCAAGCAACGGACCCTGTACCTTCTACCACAGAAACTCCTGTCACAACAGATGATGATCAGTATGATGATGATGATGATGATGATGATGATAGTGGTGAGTTCATAAGCGAAAAACTGAGAAGAGCTGCAGGACCTGAGGTGAGATTGTGAGAGTTTGACTAAATGTAATTATGGCAGTATTGAGCAGTACAGGAAGAGACTTGTGTTTAGTAATATTCATGTGTGAGGATTACAGTAAATGAAGAGAGAAAGTCTGGCTATGCTATTACTTCTCACCATCATCCTGCTATAGAGTTGGGAGGGTTTGTGAGTTGACAGAAACACACATGAAGATCAGAGAACTACACCTTAGTCATAATCCATCCATGAAGTTAAATGGTACCTACAGACACCACCAACACTGCTATCTTGTCATACTTCATTAATCCTTAGACAGTGAGGAATTCTTAGCCACTGATTAAGGGTTAAATTCAATCCCCTTGTTGTAAAAGAACTTTGTCTCCTACACTCACATATAAAGAAATAGTAGAATTTACTGTAGGTTACTCTTTTTTTCCATTGAATTGTAGTACAGTATAAAGCATTTTGAAAATAAGAGATAAAGGAAAATATTATGGCCAATCTTTCTCACTCTGTAGAATCATCATAATTTGAACTTATATCTTTGAATTGAAGTCGATTTTCTACAGTGAGAGCAGATATCAATGCTGGTATACATATTACATCACAGGGTATAAACAAATATTAAACTTTTGCTAATATAATTATAATTTGATTCTGCTATCTGTTAATTAATTTACGTGGCAGAAAACAAGTGATCGTGAAATTTTTTTGCTCCATTCTCAATTAAACGTCATTGGTTAGCAACGTTAACCTCACAAGATGGGGGCATTTGCTAGTCAATCTTTTTGTTCGGGATTTTAATTTTACAATAACAAGATCTTGACTGTTCCTGATGTCTTATGACCTATTTTTATCATTTATGATATATAGTTAAGATAGAGGATCTTTTATTTAAGGTAGTATCTCCAAAACCATATCCTGTTAGTTAGGTCAGGCTGTGCTGGGCTAGGCTGGATTTACTCACTTGATTGAATGGGATTGCAGAAAAATGACGACTGTTGGGAGACGTCTTTGGGGCAGGAATTTTACAGGCTGTTAATCATCGACTTCCTCATTGCCCTCGTGATGCACCTCTTCACTCTGATGTTCTTTGTGGCAACCTGCAAGAATACTACGTAATGTATTCATTCTACTTCCTTGTATGATCCTAAGATAATGTTCATATGGTTTTATTCACAACTCAGATTGCTAGATTTATTTTCCTAATACCTGGTAAGTTATTATAGTTGTTATGAAGTATGTGGGATGATAATTGGTGTGAATGTATTAGTATGTTCCTGTGGTGTATTAGAGGGCTGATCAATGTACTCAAGTTTTTATGAATTTAAAACTCATTTTATAGCAAGCTTACTGTAAATTGCCTCTCCATCAGAATTCATGGTATCCAAATTATTACAGGAAGGGAAAGGTCCATCAGTTTCTTCTGGAGTTTGACATCAGTCGTAATACACTCCACCTCATATACAACCAGACACTGCTGTGGGCCGGGCTCTTCTTCTGCCCTCTTTCACCCCTCATTGTCCTACTCAAGATCACCATCATGTTTTATATACAAAAGGTTAGTGGTTCATAGTCCCATATGACTGGTTGTTTTACTGTACTGTATATGTATTTGTAATTTGTGACATGTGAAGAATATCACTAATACTTTACAAATAAAATTTATCTATTTCTCCAGGAGCATTTGACTCATGTTCTTTAGTGCAAAAACATAATTCACACATCCTCTCTTTTCTGAAGGTGATCTTCCCTACTTTTATGACAGATAGATATTACTGTAGTTTGAAAATATATTAGTCATCCCCCGTAGAGGTAAACTCCATACAAAAATAAAGCATTATAGAGAAGATAGGAAAGATGATTACTTTTCACTTAATTATTTTTTCAACACCTCATTGATTTCATACTGTATTTCATTTTCCAGTTCAGTGTTTTGAAGGTTTTACGACCTGATGAGCGGCCGTGGCGAGCAGCACAAACTGAGACAGTCTTCTTCGCTCTCACACTGGTCTCCCTCGTCTTGGCTGTTATGGGTTATGGCTTTATCCTTTTCAGGTAAGAGTCAATAATTTGGAACAGAGGACTTGAGTGATATTTAGTGTTTAGAATGCTGTGTGGTTTTATATTTATAGTAGAGTGACAGCTGACAGTACTGTACCAGAATGAAAGATTATAAACAAATGTATTGAGCAATCCCCCCTCTCTGACCTTCATCCAAATATTCCCCTGCAAAAATTTAAGGAAATAATAATAAAATTTCTCATGTTACATAGAAAATAATTAAAATTCAGATATAACGAGTATAATGGTAAATTATTTTAAGTTTGTGATGAGAGAATCTTATGAACAAACTTAGGAGGAAAGCATATACGTATCTAAATTATATTTGTGTGTGTATCCTTGGTGGGACACACAACCGCCTACACTACACATGGTGGTGTAGAAGTGAGCGGGGCACCAAAGTTATTGGTGTTTCTCGAGGAAGCTACTCATCCCACCTCATCACGCTGTGGCTGACACATGCATTAAACACACGCGGTCACGGGGGGGTTTGACAAATTGATCTAAAGCTCGATAAATGTACGTGTACCTCGGGTGGGTTGTAGTGTTGTTGATGTTGGTGCAATTGATACAACATTAGATTAAAATACACAAACTCTATGGAAACACCAGGAAGAGTGAGTGAATGAAAACAAGAGTGAAGGGAATCTAGGGAGAGGTTGTAGTGGACTTTACTTTGGACAAATTGTATTAAAGTGGGAACTGGTGTGAAAATATAAATAGATTGGGAATTTTTGTTTTTTTCATTAGTATTTAGTATGTATGTTGATATTTATTTCATTTACAGTATATTTCATTACCCCTTTTATTTTGTATTTCAGAGGCAACACCTCATCTTGTGGCCCTTTTCAAAATCATGAGCCACATTACATAGATTTTCTGTGGGACATAACACAGAGTAATGAACAAATCATCCTGGTGATAATCTCCTGGATTCTGAAGCCTGGGGTTGTGGCAGGAATTCTTGGCATCCTTCTGTAAGTGTTGGGTTGATAGGTTTTCCCAAATGTTTCTTGTCACTGTAGTCACTATACCTGATAAAGTGATGGTAACTAACCAGTAAATGAAGATATACAGTTATTATTTATGCCTTTATATTGAGGAGAAACATCTTAACTCTTACTGTCATGGTTAGAGATGTGTTGACTGCCTTTTATAACCTAAGGTACAGTCGCCTCCAGGTGTGATGTACCCCCCTTCTGTGCCTCCCATGTGGCAATGTGGCACTACTCCTGTGGCTAGGAAACTGATTGATAGGACTGTTTCCTAGTACAGATATTGTACTTGTGTTTGCCATTATTTGTATACAGTGTATGTATTAATGTTCAAAAGAATAATCTTAGCTGCATCATGTCTTTTGGAAAATCAGTTTTCATTAGCTGACTACCTGAGAGAGTGAACTCTTTTACCAATCTATGCTGATGCAGCTGTAGGTGAATTTTTGGCCACACTTGTTCAGTAAAAACAATAATAGTATGCATACAGATAGTGACCAACAAATCAACTGTCACTTTGGAGCCAGCCAGGCAGTCTTTTATCTTCTACTGTGTCGAGATTTCAAGATAAACAAATACAAAGTTGTGAAGTTTTTTGCAAAATTTCCCAGAATAAATTAAAAACAAAATGAATCAAATTATCTCTAAAAGCTCCAGAGTTAAGGATTATTCAAGCCATACTTTGTGTCTTCCCACAGAATCCTTGTTTACTGTGCCAAGTCCATGGCCGAGGGACGAGCAGAGATGATCAAGGTATTGCGTCGACAGTTGGAGTTAGAGGTGCGGGACAGAGCCTTCCTGCTGCAGCTCACCGAAAAATATAAACGAGGTGTGACTTATGTGTAGTGCCAAGTTAAACAAAGTGTCACATGGTTGTTCTGTAATTGTGTGTATTGTCAGACACTACCATATGTGCGGAGGGTTTTATTTTAATTCTGGGGGGGTTACACTTCGAGGGAAATAATATATTCAGTAAAAAATATAACCCAAAGAGTGTAGGGACAATAAGATTTCATGCAGGTCAGGCAGCGGCCAACTTTTTTGCATTTGTGAAATATTGAAGTCCATGCTGTTAATGTTTTTTGGGGGTAAATTTGAATAAGGCAAACTAGATGATAAGTGCAACGTCTCTCTTAATTGAAAGTTGTAAGTAGTTATGCCAGAACCATGATTGGTTTTTAGCCATATTTGTACTAATGCATGTGAAGCTTATCATCTGACCAGGGATACAGTCTCAAAAAAAGTCCCCTGTCCCTTCCATGAACCCTGAAGCTCATGAACCTTTGAATCTGAGACACTACACATTGTTGAGTCCCATACATGGTGCACTTTGCGATGTCTCATTCACAGGGTTCATGGATGGGACGGAATACTGACTAATTTTTTTTTGTGGCTGTACATAGATGATGAATCCTGGCATATCCAATAACAAGGCATTATACCATTAGCATAAGGAGTATTGCTACCTCTTGTAAATGAACCATATGTTGATTTATTTTATCTGATGAGTGTAATATGTCATCAGGAGAACACAAGGTTGCTAGTCCAGCCCAAGTGAGAGCTGCATCTCCACCGCCTTCAACATCTGTAGGACCACATGAACTTACACAGCGAGCATCATTCGTGTTTTCAGACAACAAAGGTGAGAATTTACTTCTGTTTGTAGCCATATTATATACTGTATTCATAAACCACAGTTGTTGGTCTTGGTTTTTGAGATGAATGAGAAATTTAGTTTTTCTTCTCTTCCAGAAGATGTACACTAACCAATTCCATCTTGTTTAGTTCCATGATATTCAGTGATAAATCTGGGTTCATTACATTTTTATTACAATGATCATCCAGGAAGGAGGATACGTTTGTTCTTGGAGATATCAGTGGTAGATGGGGTGTTACCTTGAGCAGTTGTCAGCACTCAGAACATATCTAGTTGTTACTATTGTTTTGTAGCATAATCTGACAGTAAACATATGAATTTATCTCAGTCTGCTTAAATCCAAGGTCTTAATGAGTTTAAACTTTTGGGTGACCACTTGTACATATACGGGTATGGACGGTACTGTAGTGTCTATCAGTGTGCCACGTCTGAGTTGAACACTGAAGTTGTGCTTTAACAATGTAATATAAATATAGATGTTTATATAGTCAACATTTGTATGTGAGAAGATGCTTTAAGGGGTCATTTCTCCTACAAGCTGCATTCTCTGAAGGAGGCTCTGATGTTGGAGCTTCCACGTCAAAACCAAAGTTTTATATAGGACCAGGTTAGTCTATGTAAGTAATAGTGCCCTTTCAGACTGGTCAATAGATTTTCAACTACTGTATTAATGTTATATACAAAAATTTAATATCTTGTTAGTTTTCAAGGGTAGGATTTTTAAAAACTAAGTACAGGAGGGGTGTTCTGCACCCACCCACCGTCCTCTTGCCCTCTATTAAACTGTTGGATAGACTAACAGTATATTGAATATGTTTATAACAAAAGCGTTTTACCTATTCATAGAGAAACTTATAGATTGTTAATGTGAAAAGGCTCTGTCCTCATCCAGATGTTCTAACTTTACCCACCTGTTTAAAATAAATTGATGTATTGTTTTATGACATATTTACAAATTAATGGATAAACCTAATTTTTATAGAAGCAGCATATAATCTTCAAGTACATAAGTTGAGTTTCTTGTGTGAAAATATCAATACTGAATACAGTACATGTGTATGGTAAGGGATGTGGATTGCAAGGTAAAAAAAATCATATCGGACATCAAAATATCTTGCAGTAATGTAATACAGTACTGTACCTGATAATGGATGGTAAACCATAGGTAAGGTAGATTAGAATTATCCTAAGGCCATGTACTGTATGCTTTCACTTTATATTATTGTTTTCTGTGCTATATGCTTTTGTTCCATCTAGGAGAGGGAAGTTTACTTTGATACTATTATCCCTATCATGTTGTCATAAACATGTAAAATACTGTAATTTGTACTGTAGTACCAAAACAATGCTATCTTTTATGTCATACAAGACCTTATATCTGTCATCATCAGGTGTGAGGGTAAGTGATTCACACTCCTATTTTCTGACTCTAGTTTTATGTCTTCCTCAGTACACCCGGCAGACTCAGCCCCACGACCCAGACACTTCTCAGATTATTCAGGTAAGTCTTCTGGTGATCACAAAGTGCACCTTATTCTGAATCACGAGGAAGCTCTTGTATATAAAATTGCTTGGTTTTAAGGAGGAAAAAAGTAGTGAAACTCTCAGTAGATACAGTAATATTATCTTTGGAGTAGACAGTTTTTACTGGATTTTAGACCATAAATTGAATCATACCTCCATATTTTAAAGGTAGTTATTTCTAACCCCTGATTATTTAAAATGGACGGAAATTTATGTTGTACTGTGCAATTAAACAGTTCTGTATATAACACTAACCCCTGCCTGGTTATGGTACAAGTATTATTATTTTTATTTATTTAACTCTATAGAATCATTTGGTTGAATTTTTTTTAAGTGATAGTGGTGAAGTTTTTCTCATAGTGTTGTTATTACTGCTGGCCTATTTACATTGTATAGATTGTAAGAACTTATATTGCTGGGTTAGTGGTATAGCATGTTAGCCAATAATTATATACCTGTATGCATGACTTCATTATTAAACATTAATTGCCTGCATGAACACTTAAATAAAAGATAGACATGTGCAGTTAAATACCGTAGTTGATACTTAATGTCATCTCCCTTATTATGTAGAATAGGCGGTGTAGACGTTTGTAAAGATTTAATAATTCCAAGTTATGTGTTTAATGTTTGTGGAGGTGGGATGGCGTGTGGAGCTCAAGAAAGACACTGAATTAAGTTTAGAGACAAAAATTTTGTTTTATTTAATTTTTTTATTGTGTAGTTGATCAGATGGTAAATAAAAAATATGAAGGACTTGATGTAAGGAATAATTGGATGTTAGAGGGAATGAGTAAAAGCATATTCATGTGTAGATATTTTAACCCTTTGACACTCCACTCACCAGATATAAATCATCTGGGATTATCAAAAGTGGCGTCCCCTTCAGTATGGGGACGCCACTTTTGATAACACCAGATGATTTTATCCTTCACAAAGGGGATCCTGTACCCATGTTGTTAGATACAGATTCAGGAATCAATGGGAAGATGGAGTGAAAAGAGCAGTTAATGAATGTTTAAGTGAGCACAGATATCTGGGTGAGTGGAGTGTCAAAGTAGCCAGTTTAGGGTAGAAGATGACATTAAAAAATCAGCATGTAAATATTAGTGTAGTGCTTAATGTGTGAACTTGGTAGTGCATTGTTTCAAATCTTTGCTTATTTTGATGCAGATTCACACAGCTTGGATCGCTATTCATCGTAGTTCTGAACAAGTATTAAATAAATAGGTAAGTCAGTATGGAGATAATAACTATCATGATATTTAATTATATTTATGTCTTTTCATTTGATGTTAATGACTATAAGATTTTCTGTTCACTATTGGTACTTGTATGACTCTCACTTTAACTACAGCTTAAGATTTGTATTTATAATGTAATGAATTCAATGTTATGTATGGTATGGTTAATTTTATGACTTTCATTTCCAGAGGAATCATACATATAGGAATTGTCCAGACATTTTGAAGATGAAAGCTGTCACCTCTATCTTTGTTTACGTAACATGACAGCTTCATTATATGGGTAAGTCAGGAAGCTGTAGAAACTTAAAAAAATAACCCCTGCAAACTGGTCTTATACCAAAGTTACCTCTTATATAATGTGGTTTACAGGGGATGTGATAAAGCTAATAATTTCCGCTTAGGCAGAAACACGTGATATTTGAAAGTACAGAATCTTGTACGTCCAGGTATTGTTTCCTTTAAGGCTTTCACCTACCCAATGTTGAGCTGTTTACGCTGTTTTGTTTGTCAGCTTACATGTTCGAGCTGTGATAAAACAACTACAGTATTCCTCATCACATGCCAGGCCTTTAACTAAGACTCGTCATCCTAAGCGTCCTTCGTGGTTCTCTTACATCTCTGGTCAGTGTTGGTCATAGTCATCCTGTGTTCTAGTGGGAAAAGTCTTGTAAGTGGTGAAGAAAGTATACATTGAAATAATTATGATACATTATTAATGACTTTACAATTATTAGTTATTGATAAGACTGTAATTTATGTGAAATATATATCGTATTTTAGATTTGTAGTTATTGTTGATTGTTTGTAACTACTGTATTAAGTAACAAAGTGATTATGTTCCATGTAGACTGATGGATGTGGTAAAATGGTGTTATACTCCAGTTAGGAAATATTATATGAAATATATGCTTTAATAATTTTTCTTATTGATCAGAAATATTGTTTGTACTTGTTACATTTGAGAATTAATAATTTGTTATTAAAAAAAAAAAAACATATATATATATATATGCAAGTAAATCACTGTAGGTGCGCGTGATCTAGGTATATGCTGATAACCACAAGGAAAGAAGAAAACACGAAGTTCCCAAGCGCTTTCGTGTAATTCACATCTTCAGGGGTGAGTACAGTCTGTACTCACCCTGAAGATGTAATTACCAAGCGCTGGGAACCGTCGTTTTCTCTTTCCTTGTGGTGCTATATATATATATATATATATATATATATATATATATATATATATATATATATATATATATATATATATATATATATATATATATATATATATATATATATATATATATATATATATATATATATATATACTATATATATATATATATATATATATATATATATATATATATATATATATATATATATATATATATATATATATATATATATATATATTATAATCTTGCAGTAATGTTTACACAATCATGCATATGTGCACACACACAGACTGATGTATGTGTGTATTTACAGCACAGGTGTACAGACAAACAGGGAATACATTAAGAAAAAAAACATAATTATGTGATAAAAAGTACAGTATTTGTCCAGGAGTAACAAAAAAACAAGATAGTCAAGTAAAGAATGAGAAATAAGTTTATTACTTCATTCTTAACTGTAGCAAATAACAGATACAGTACATTGACTTCACTCAATTTAGCATTGACTTCTGATGAACACTTCAGGTTAGATAAGCTCACAGTTGATTCTTGTTTTCTATCCTTTTGATAAATCTTTTTGAAGTGCTTTCACTACCTCTCTTCCTTGAGCTCATGGCAGGCTTTTACAAAGGCAGACAATAAATTAACATGCCATGTATGTGTGTGGAGGGGGGATATATGACATGGTTTGGGTAATGAAATAAGCTATGGCCAGTACTGTACAGAAAGCAGGAAATTTTTTGACACTTGCATCATGATCCCCATCTTGCTCAGCACATTGTATCTTTTATATTTTCTTCTTAGAGGTGCTAAACAACTACACCACACCAGCTGTCACTTGAGGTTAGGCACTTACTAATGAAAGCCTTTGTTAACACCAAAGAGTAAGACAAAAGGGATGGGATTACAGTAGTGGCTGTCTTGACAGGTTCTTTACTGCCTGAGTCTTTATGTGTGTGATCCATACATGAAGGTGAGATTGGTTATAGGGTTAGGTTTACTGTATATAAATAGGGGCAAAGGCTTACCGAAGGGGGCGGGGGGGAGCAATTACCCCTCCTTGAGCTAATAAATTCTAAGTAAACCATTTTTAACAATAAAAAAGAAAAAAATAATAACTAAATAGATAAATAAAAATAATAGCATTACTAACAACATCAACAACAGTAAAATTATAAGAGAAAAATTTTAATATCTCAAATTTCAACACTATTGTACCTCGGTATGTTTATTTAAAAAAATCCCCCCCCCCACCCGCACCCCAGCAAAGTTCTAGGTATGTCACTGGATACAGGTGTTGACCATTAAACAATGAATCTATTTGCAATCGATCAGTTTTACAATACTGAAAAATTAACACCATTTACCACTGTGCAATGGCTTTTCCTGCATTGTCAGTGCTATGAAAAAGTGATGTGCAATAGCTCGGAATATTCCAAGATATGATAACTCAATCTTGAAATGGCATAACACATGCCGCGTGGGAGGCTCTGTCTGTCCCAGGTGACTGCCAGGCTAAGCAGTTGAAATGTGTTCCTTTGCTCAGAGGATGGTTTGTGTGTGGAAGATGCTATTCTTTGTACATAGAAATAATGTATACTGTACCTGTACTGTACCAGTAAACAGGAGGAATAAATAAAAAAAAAAAATACTTCGTTGTCATTTGGCAGTCTTGTCACCACACACGAGACAGCGAGCCAAGACAACTCATGCAGCTCCCCCCCCTTCCCATTCTCCCTGTGTGTGCTGTAACTGAGTAAAAAAAAGTAAAACAGAAGAAAATTACATATACTGTATCTACCTGACATTATGAATTGAAAAATAATAATGCAGCTCACAGATTGGCATGGTAGGGGGAGGCTGAGATCCTTGATGCTGCACCCACTCCTGCTCCCCCTTCCCCTCCCACGGTCCACACACTTAACTTCTGCACACATAACAAATGCTTATTCTCTTTATGTTTTTGACCTTATAATATATATTAATTTTTTTGTCCATATTTGAGTATGATCGATCACCTTACGTTGGCTTTTCGAAGTCCCTAACCCCATTGTATAACGGTCAACACCTGTGTACATTATTTTAAAGATTTTAAGGCATTAGATATACTTATTTAATAGATTTTTAATAATAACTTTAATATGTATTAACCCATTGAGTGGTAGGGGGTTTCTCTTGGCTGAATAAAATCATCTTGGGTTAACCAGAATAAAATATAGAGGTGTGACACTACTCCTTAAAGGGGTTAATATATACTGTATACAAATGCAAGGTCTTAGAGAAATCTGATACTGTATGATGAATTTTCTTTGAACATTTCTTCACAAAACAAATTGCAATAACATTTATACTACTCATACAATAAGCAGTATTTTTAATGTCATAAGTAATAAAAATAGTTGATCTCGTTTTCTGGAAAGACAGTTATGTTTTCATATGCTTACATCTTCATACTTGATATGGTTAAGTTTATTGCTGTAGTTTACATAAGATAATCTTCTTAAACAACACTATATTAAATAAAAGACAATATGGGGCCAGTTAAGCTATTAAGGTCAGTTATAATACCTAAGCAATACACAAGTATTAAACTCTGCTTCCAGTTCAGAATAATCACACTTAAGTGTTATCTTGAACTGGACACGGGTCCTGTGCACTGCCCATTTTAATTAAGTGTTCATGTGTAAATGGTGTGAATGGATTTTTTTTCACTTCATCACTATTAAACTGTTAGACTGTATGTTACATATATATTTATAAGTACAATATTTGATTTTTTTGATACAATATATTTTTACCTTACTTTTAACCCAAACAATATATGATTCACTTACATAGATGTTGATATAAATCTCTGTGCTTTCAACTGTATAGTATTCTTCCACCACTGAGTTATGTAGGTAGTTTATCCTCTATTATATAAGTATTGCTGTTTAGTTCTTAAGTATTTCATATCTTCAAATTAAAGAATAATTATTAGCCGGCATTAGGGTCATTAAGATACTGTACAGTACGTACTGTAAGTCTGTAACCTTTCTTCATAATAGTTGCTCTTTTGTTCCCTGCTCACTTTAGGTTATTGTAGGTCAGTTGAGAAAGTTTGTTGAAAAGTTCTTGCTGAATATTTTACCCTTAACCTCTCTGATGCAGACATTATAGATCTTTTGTTAACACTTAAACGGCAGCTAAGAATTCCTTACCCTCTCCATCCCCTCTGCACAAAGATGAAACTTGAAACTTCCATAGATGGCCACCGTCCTTACAGCAAACTTCCACTGATGATGGCTGCCCTTTAATGGTTACAACAAAGACTAAGAAAAATATTACATTTTGTTAATGAGTATAGTTTATACATATCCTTGCAATATCCTAGTTTATTTTAACAAATTTACGTATTTCTACTGTATGTAAGGGATGGTTTTATCAATCATTTCTATTCTTGTAACTACAGTATTGTATATTGTATAATCTTCATTATAACCTTACTAAGGCAAACACATTAGGTCTGGATGATGACAGTGGAAGTAAATTATTCATAATAAATTCATGTACAGTAGATCATGTTAAGGTCTTCATGAATGTAGACACCAAGCATTGTACAATTCTTCCAGCAGTTAATCAATATATACTGTACACATACCTCACTTAAAGAGTATTATTGTTTTTATATAAATTTGGGATTTATTTTCAGGTTTACATTGTTGCTGAGTTCAGATTATATATTAGATTTAGCTGTCAGATCTCCATGGTTAGGATTTTCTCTGTTGATGAGATTGCTCTTGGCACCAAATCTCCTTAAAGTCATGTTTAACTTATACTCTACATGTTATTTGGCTAGTGAGTCTTGTAGAATTCACTGTTGTTTTTTTGTCTCTTTAATCATGTGTTTTGCCAACTCTCAGATATGAAGATCTGATTGATTGGTAAGGTTGATGCATTGTTATTATTTACTTGATATATTAATTAATACATCAATTAAAAATAGTAATATCTGAACATAGGAACAAACAAAAATTATGTAAAATGAGAAATAAATGCTATGTTTTTTCTAAAGTAGCATTGGGAAGTGTTCAACCACCAAGAAGGCTGATATAACATACAATATTTTGCCAAATTTGAGGTCAGTAATCACAAATATTTTATGAACAATTAAGGACAAGTATTATGGAACATAAACACTAATACCTGGTACAATTAAATACTGTATTTGTATATCATTACTTCGCTGGTGAGTTCCAATGATGGTAAAATTTGCAGAAAAATAATCATCCCACATGACCCTTGTTACATAGTGCACATGATAGTTCCCTCCATTATCCTTTCATGATTACTTTTGGCAATATTAAGAACAATTTGACATGATCCATATCATATTATGCACATCTACTGTCTCACCTAAATGTTTGTGTCAGGTTTTATAATCTTGGGGAAACCTGTAGGAGTTGGTTTTTATAAAGGAACATCTCGGTGTTGGACAGGGTGAACAGACAGATTGTGACTGGATTAACACTGCTACTGGTGTGTGACCCCCTGTCCTATACAGTAGTGGGGTTATAAAAATTAAGGTTAGTGACCCAGAAAACCCCTGATATTCATATAAAATACAAAATAAAACTATATTTTATTGAAGTTGTGAAGGAAAGAGACACAAACTGATAAATTCAGGCTCACTGTAATTACAGTACAGTACAAGTATTCTTTTTCATTTACAAATACTGTAGTTTATGTTCTTTCACTTTTGAGATGTAATCCAAACTTCCATTAATCTCTTCCAACTGTTTTCTCGGGTTGACTATTGATGTCTTTATATGGAGATCCTTCTTGCATTTAAAACAATGAATTAATCTTAAAGAAATATTTATAATCACTGCTGTTGTGGACTATCTGTATATTTTAATTGCCTATGGAAGAATAAAACTCAAATTTATTATTACGAAAGAAATTAGTTACTTTCTCTATATTGTTATTGAAAATAAAAATGTATTTACTGTTCATGAGAATGAATAGATTTTTGTAGATGATAAATATGAAGATAAGGGAATTAAGTAATTAAAATGTACTGAGGGAGATAAGGGAAATAAGTAATAATGTATCAGGAAAGAATAGGCACATTAGTCAGAGGACGCATTTGAAGTAAGAACATAACCCCTTACACGCCAACAGCAGCTCTCTTTGTTCTTGTATGTGTCTGACAGTTATATACACAAGGAATTAGGTCAGAGACTGAACTGTACAAAGACCCGAGATTGTTGGAATCTCTTCCTTATGGTAGCCCAGTGCATTTAAATTTACACTGCTTCCATCAGTGAGTGGCATCACCCAATCTACAGTACTTTATATTTGAGTGTTTTAAATTTATATCACTAACGTTAATATATAAAATATTTAACTTTATAAGAAATATATGCTTTTACAATCACTTATATTTAGCATTACGTAAACCCCAAATACTGTATATACCGGTATGTCCACGAGATACGAATGGGTCGGGCAGAGAGAGAAAATGGATGGTACTTCTCGCCAGAGAAAACTAGCCTCTCTAGGGGTAACTTATTAGTTTCACGTGTTATGGCCGGTGGAGCATAAAATGAATAATTGTTATTGTCAATAACACGTCAAAAATATTTCAGACATGAAATTCGCACACTGAAAGGTATATAAAAATAGTTATACACCTATGGAATAAAATTATGTAAATAAATATAGTACACAATGCTACCCATGGATATTATACAATTCAAGCTGCAACATTGAAAAAAAAATCAGATAAACATACATATTAAATAAATGCACAGATATACAGGTAAAGTACAAAATTTAGGGTTACATACATAACAAAATAAAATTGGCACAATACATTCACTGAAATTTGATTTCTCACATCAAGGAAGTTTTTACTAAAGCGATTGACCAAATGCTTCCTGGATACCCCGAGATTCAACATAGACTTCTCATGCTAAGAAAGGATGAATGGACCCCATCGAGTCGGTAGCAGATTTGTTCGACCTATCTACGAAAGGTATGGGCCACCCTCACGAGAAGAAACGGTCCTTATGGGGCTCAAATCTAGCTGCGGACTGGTCAGTTCCTTTTAAGCGGTATCGGCGCCTCTTTTACATACATGCCCGGTCCTAATGAAAAACAGGCAACAATCCTAGCTAGGACTTGACACAAAAACTTGAGAAATCACACATGGTATCTTTACTTCATCTAGTAACATACCCATCAGATGGTTACAACTTTGTGCCGATCCACCCTCCAATTTCTATGTCCTTCCCTCACTTAGACAAACCCTTTACAACTCTCATTTCACCTCGCATAATTCACATCTCACCAGGGCAAACACACTCAACTCACAGGTACAAACAGCACACTCACTTTCCATCAATTCATATCTCTAAATTACAAATACGCAAAAACACCGCAATTCACCATTGCACATCAACAACCAAGACATTACACTTTCAAAAGTCTCCAACTTTTTAAAGATTTCTCTGCGACACTGAAGTCCCTGTCTCTCCCTGCTCTCTTGTTACTCTACTTCACCCTCCTGGGCCTGGATGCACTAAGATTGATAAGGTCACGCAAGTCTCTACTGGCGCTCTTAACTCTCTGCTAGCTCATTTAAGTCATCTACCTTAGCTAGGTCTCTTTACCAACGAAAGAACTGGTGGCGAGTGAGACCTTGGTGTCATCCTTCGAATGAACGTCTCCACCCACATACTACTTAACTCTATACATCCACTCATCGGACATGGTTCTGAGCGATGAGGCATGAATTTATAAAATTTTAATGTATTGCTGACATATATAAAACCTGACAAAAGAATTGGTAGTGATGAAATAAACCGAGTATTGATCGAGCATGGCTGGGGTACCACGCATGCGCCGACCCACACATGTAAACACACTCAGCTGATACACAGCCTGTGACCGCCCGACACCTGCAGCCAGACATCTGTGTGAATTGTGGCATCTGCATACAGCTAAAAGAGCTAGGGAAGGGGCTACTCGGGGCCTAACAACACGCCATCCAACGCAAGAAAAAGAAACCTCCGGATTGTGCCGTAGTGTAGATCGACCTACTGCAGTTGTTTATTCACAAGTATTAGTAACTGATACTGCATCAAAGCAGTCTTATGGAGATTTTGTTTCTAGGTATCCCAGTGTAAAAAACAACAGAAAATACTACCAACTGCTACAAATAACAATATTTACAAAGTGATTTAAATAAAGATCAGAGGAAATCTAACTGAAGGAGTTATCGTTCACCAGCTAACTAGTTGGTATTTAAAACAGAAACAAAGGCATAATACTCTTGCAGTCGACGACTGCAAGTTTTTTTGTTCCCAGAAGTCGCCACGCTGAAGATCGAGGTGGAAGCCGAGGTCAGAATGCGCCAGCAGAATGTGCGGACTTTATCGCTGGTGGTATGTACTTTCACGTACCTCCTGATAGGTGCTGCGGTGTTCGACGCTCTGGAGTCTGACACAGAGACCGAGAGACTGAGGATCATTGAAAGTTAGTTTATACATCAATTTCCAGCTGATTTTTATTTGTGCATAGGTTCTGGCTGATTATATGTCGTGTACACATAAGTTGTGGTTGATTTTAAGTTAGTGATGCTTTATTTGCAGCCTGGGAAATTACTAGTAGTTAGCTTTAGTGCTGTAGAGGAGTAGAAAAAATACAGGCCTAGTTCTGGACTGCGAACAGTTAAACAAAAGCTTAGACCAAGTATTACGGCCAACTCAAAATAAAACAAAAGCCTCTTAAGATTTTTTGTCGTGGATTTTTTTTTAAGCTTAGAGTGTGTTGACTAAAAGACTGGAAGTTCCTCGGTGCTTTAAAATGTTGTGTGACAATAGCCTGTCTACAACATGATGCTTGTTATCTGCAAAATAAAGTTAGTTTTATTTAGCATGCACAACCACCCTTTATAAATGTTTGCTTGCCATGTTGTTTTATGCATGTTTCACCCCCCACCACCTAGCATGGCTTCACCTAGCCTACACATTTCCCGTAAACGCTCATCAATGCTGTTGCTTTACCACCGAGAATTACAAACCCCCGTTTAAAGCATTATTTCAGGCGTTCAAAATTGGCACAGTGATGTTTGTGTGTGTGTGTGTGTGTGTTATTTGTGTATGTGTTTGTATGTGTGTTTTGGTATGTGTGTGCAATAATAATGATGTGTTTGTGTATGTGTGTTTGTTTATGTGTGCATGTGTTTGTTAATGTGTGTGCATGTGTTTGTGTAATAATAATAATAATTAACTGTTTATTGAAAGAGCTTGGCAGCCAGAAGGCTGACAATATACAGTTACATAATTGGGGAATGGGTTTCGAATTACAAATAATATACAAATAACATAAGTGATATAAATAAGATATAAAATAACTAGATGGGGAAAAGCTCAAACTACAGGGCATTTCAACATAGTGACAGTGCAAGAAGTAGTATTTACTGGGAGTGAATACACTGGTTTATTACCAGTTATTGATAATTTTTACAATGGTTGGGACTGGGCTGTTCTTATAGCGATCAGTTCGTGCACGTATAGGCTGGATGCGGTTGTGGTGTCGAACAGGTGGTAGTAGGAGCCGGTGTCGAGGATGGTGCAGAAGCTTCTTACCAAATTTGCAGATGAGGTCGTGGTGATGGTCAGTGAGAGTTCGAAAGGGTCAGTGTGTTGATCGCTTCTTGATATGTGGAGTAAGAAGGGAGAGAATAATCTTGCATGCCCTCTTTTGCACTTTTTCTAGGTGTTTACGTTGTGTGGCATTTAGGGAGGAAGACCAGGTAGGGGAGGCATAGGTGAGCTTGGGAAGTATGAATGTTGAGTAAACACTGAGGAGCTCGGGGGCAGGAACTCCGAGGGACTTGAATAGGCGGAGGAGGTGGAGACGGAAACTGGAGGATTTGACAACTTCACTGACGTGTGGTTTCCAATTTAGTTTGTTGTCTATGGTGACGCCGAGGAGCTTCGTAGAATCTACAACCTGGAGTGTGTTGGGACCTAAATTAATGGAAGGGGGTGGGACAATGTCGGAGGAGAGGTTGATGTGCATAACCATGGTCTTGGTATGGTTGATGGTGACGTGGTATATGTTTGTGTGTGTGTGTTTGTTTGTTTGTGTCCAAAAATCATTCTCATGCCTGCTTTAAAGCCTTGAACTAACCTCTTAAGGTGTACCCACAAAATGTTAAAATGCATCATCCAACACAAGTTAGTAACGAGATATAAATTATTGTGTGTAGAAGTAAGTTTCCGCAACATAACTTTTGTATTCCTATTGATAACTATTAATACTCGTCTAGTTAACAATATTTATAAATAATGTTTACGGTTGACCTGAAATATTTCTATACAGCATTATCATAATAAAAATCATAAATGTGCTTACAATAAAATTTCGAGTTATTCTATGCCTATTCTTATGATTTAATAATAGTTAATGAAATTTCCTAACCTTTAAAGGTCAAAGAAAAAAACAGCATTAGATCACATTTAATTGATAAAAAAATGTATCTTTGGCCCCTTATATATAGATATATATACTTTTAGTTATGAACAATTGTCTAAAATACTTAATATGTGATTTCGCTCTGTTGACCTCAATGTAAATGATCTCTTCTGTAAGCTGTAGGTACGTAACCATCACACTGTTTCCTAAATGTTGCATATTCAACAACCTACCATACCAGTATCAGTATTCATTACCCACATACCACTTACACCCCCCCCCCTCACCTCCCGCTTTCAATTGTATAATAAACTAACCTAGCCAAACAACCCTCCTGCCAAACCAACAGCGTCCCTCTCTCCCTCTTTGCCGTACAACAACAACGACGCCTACTTTGCGTCTCTCCTGTCAAGCGCGAGGCAGCTAAACCATCTTCTCCCTTGCTTAGACACACAAATAACATATTTTCTGCCATTAACCAGCCGTCCGACAGGAGTTACTGGGCAGATACAACATCAGCGGGTCTGAGTACAAGTTGATAGAAACGGTGATCATCGAGAACCAGCCACATAAGGCAGGGCCGCAGTGGAAGTTCGCCGGAGCGTTGTACTTCGTCACCGTCGTTGTCGCCATGATCGGTGAGTAACGTAATCATATCGTGGCGTAAGTCAGGTTTTGGGTGGATTAGTTTAAGTTTGGCGTTGTTAAATTAGGTTAGGTTATATTGGGTTATAGATTTTGTTATGTAAAGTTAGGTTAAGTCTCGGTACGATAAGTTGGGATTGTCAAGGTTAGGTTAGGTTAGGATTCTATAAGGATGGGTTTGGTTCGGTTAAATTAGGTTTGGTTAGAATGAGTTAGATTTGGCTATGTTACGCTAGATTTGGTTAGGTAAAGTTGGATTGGGTGTAGATAAGTTAGGTTTTGTTGGATTAAGTTAAGTTTAATTGGTTTAAGTTAGGATTGGTTAAAGTTAAGTTTGATTAGGTTCACAGAGGTTTGGTTAGACTGAGTTAGATTAAGTTTGGTCACTTTACTAGACATGGTTAAGTTAGATTTAATAAAGTTAAGTTTAGTTAGGTTAAGTTATATTCTGTTGGTTTAAGTTAGGTTTGTTAAATTTACGGTGAGTGATATTTGGTTAGATAAGTTAAAGATTGGATACGTTAAGTTAGATTCGGATAATGTTTTCATGTTTGGTTAGGTTAAGGTCAATGTGGTTTATGTATGTACGTATGTATGTATATGTATGTATGCATGTATGTATGTATGTATGTATGTATGTATGTATGTATGTATGTATGTATGTAAAGAGTTTCCTAATTTCCGATGATAATAAATTACTGCTGTGGGTCTACCTTCTTCAGGGTATGGGCACTCGACTCCAGAGACCGTGGGCGGGAAGGCTTTCTGTATCGTGTACGCCGTCGTGGGCATCCCCTTGGGTATGGTCATGTTCCAGTCCATTGGTGAACGTCTCAACAAGTTCACCTCCGTCATTATCAAGAAGGTAAGTCTCTCCTCTATAACCCCCATACCAGGATGAACGGCAAAGTTGAATTTATAGATGGGCCGTTCAACACATGATCGCATCCCATAACTCGTCCGCAGATGCTTACCTTTCACTTTGGCTTTTTTCTTGTAGTTGGCCCCCCCCCCAAAAAAAAAATAAAATCACTTTACCTGTATGTATTGTGATGCCATTTCCTTTTCAACCTGTGTTTGTACAGTAATTCACTATGACATCACTGTAACACTCTTACCATACCCACACACACACACACACACACACACACACACACACACACACACACACACACACACACACACACACACACACACACACACCGCCCTTCTACTAATTATATATCCCTCACAAGAACCTTCCTGCCGCAGATGAAAAAGATGCTGGGGTGTACGACGACTGAAGCGACCGACGTGAACCAACTATGTGTCACTGGGACTCTCTCCTCTATCGTCATGACCGCGGGAGCAGCTGTTTTCTCCCACTACGAGAACTGGAACTACATAGATGCTTTTTATTATTGTTTCATCACGCTCACTACCATAGGCTTCGGCGACTTCGTGGCTCTACAGGTAATGAGGGATGGTGGAGGGGGTCGTGGTAGTGGTGGTAGAAGGAATGGGTCGTGGTAGTGGTGGTAGAAGGAATGGGTCGTGGTAGTGGTCGTCTGTGGCAATTATTCTTCCTTATAGTCAAAGTACCAAAGTATGAACGTACACATTTTAATATGCAGAAAGGCGTAGGGGTAAGGGAATAGACGTAAGGAAGATGGGTAGAGAGAGGATTAAACAAGAAAGTAACAGACATAGGCACAGATAAACAGAGAGATAGAATTAGAAAAGGAGAGATAGAGACGGACTGACACAGAGAGAGTTAGACAGGCAATGATTGACAGCGAAGAGTTATGACAGAGGTAGAGAGATAGCCTGAGAAGCTCACCATCCTGTTCTCCCCGTGCAGAAGGAGAACGCCCTCACCACTAAGCCTGGTTACGTCGCTCTGTCTCTCGTCTTCATCCTCTTTGGCCTCACCGTCGTCGCTGCCTCCATCAACCTTCTCGTCCTTCGCTTCATGACCATGTGAGTACCTCCTCCTCCTCCTCCTCCTCCTCCTCCTCCTCCTCCTCCTCCTCCGCCTCCTCCTCCTCCTTCTTCTCCTCCTCCTCCTACTCCTCCTCCTCCTCCTTCTCCTCCTCCTTCTCCTTCTCCTCCTTCTCCTTCTCCTCTTTCCCTCCTCCTCCCTCTCCTCCTCCTCCTCCTCCTCTGTCAGTCAATATATGGAGCTAAAAAGGATCTTGATACCCTCTAAATAACTCTTTTAAAAGGCCTTTGTGAGTATTAAAGTCACTCCACAACTTATGTGTTTTATTTATAAATTTTTTTGGCACTTGGCGGTCATATCAGGTATGACTTACACACACACACACACACACACACACACACACATACACACACACATACACACACACACACACACACACACACACACACACACACACATACACACACACATACACACACTGCCTCTCACCACTATCATCCCACCTCCAGGAACACCGACGAAGTGAAGGCTGGGGACTACGAAATGCAAGACGCGTCCCAGTCGGTAGTGACCCTGGACGGAGAACTCATGGCCATCAACGGCAAACTCCTGGCGGGTACCCACGAGTCGGAGCTGGGCGAGGGGCGCGTCGGGTCTTACACCAGCATCGCCACCGTCTGTTCCTGCACCTGCTACCCTCGGCCTCACCACAGCCCCACCGACAGCAGGCACCGCTACTCTATCGTCAGGTGAGTCTTAGTGGTTGGTTGGTTGGTTCGTCGTGAATTGGTGTCTTGTTTAGAGTGTTTTTGCTTGAGAGAGAGAGAGAGAGAGAGAGAGAGAGAGAGAGAGAGAGAGAGGGCCGCCATTAACCTATCCTAATTACAGGTCACCGTCGAGGATCTCTAACCTGCTGGTGGAACAGGGAGGAGGCAGCAAGATCGACCCCCACCAGAGCGACCAGTTCCCACCTCTCCTGCACGATTCCTTCATGGTCGCCAACTACCTCAAGACCAAGAGATCGTCCGTCTGAGTGAAGGGACAGAGGTGTATCAGGGGTTGAGATGTGACGGTAAGAGTGATGGCTACTTTACCGTCCACGAACTATAACAATCTAATTCGATCGGAACTAACCTAAACCTAGCCTTAATCTAGCCATAACTTAACCTAACCTAATCTATCCATAATTTTAACCTAACCTAACCTATCTTAATCTAGCCATAACTTAACCTAACCTAATCTATCCATAATTTTATCCTAACCTAACCTAACCTATCTTAATCTAGCCATAACTTAACCTAACCTAATCTATCCATAATTTTAACCTAATCTAATGTAATGTAACCTAACCTAACCTAACTTAATCCGAGACTTGATAACCTGGGAAATAAAAACATGACTGACTCTTACATCTCTCGTATGAAATGAATAAGAAAAAGGAAGAAGCAATACAACAGAAAGATAAAAGAGGGAGAGAAGAAAGAGAGAAATAAAAAGAGGAACTGGAAGAGGTTATACAAGAAGAAAGAAGAAGTAAAGAAGAAAGAAAATGAAAATAGAAGAAGCAGAAAAATTGTTGAGGAAGAACATCAACAACATCAGTATTACCAGAACTGATTATTGTATTATAACTAACATCAGTATTACCAGAACTGATTATTGTATTATAACTAACATCAGTATTACCAGAACTGATTATTGTATTATAACTAACATCAGTATTACCAGAACTGATTATTGTATTATAACTAACATCAGTATTACCAGAACTGATTATTGTATTATAACTAACATCAGTATTACCAGAACTGATTATTGTATTATAACTAACATCAGTATTACCAGAACAGATTATTGTATTATAACTAACATCAGTATTACCAGAACTAATTATTGTATTATAACTAACATCAGTATTACCAGAACTGATTATTGTATTATAACTAACATCAGTATTACCAGAACAGATTATTGTATTATAACTAACATCAGTATTACCAGAACTAATTATTGTATTATAACTAACATCAGTATTACCAGAACTAATTATTGTATTATAACTAACATCAGTATTACCAGAACTGATTATTGTATTATAACTAACATCAGTATTACCAGAACTAATTATTGTATTATAACTAACATCAGTATTACCAGAACTGATTATTGTATTATAACTAACATCAGTATTACCAGAACAGATTATTGTATTATAACTAACATCAGTATTACCAGAACTAATTATTGTATTATAACTAACATCAGTATTACCAGAACAGATTATTGTATTATAACTAACATCAGTATTACCAGAACTGATTATTGTATTATAACTAACATCTGTATTACCAGAACTAATTGTATTATAACATCAGTATTACCAGAACTAATTGTATTATAACTTCAGTATTACCAGAACTAATTATTGTAACAACAGTATTGCCAAAACTGACCAATATATTATAAAAATTAGACCTACCGGGTATAATTAGGATGGTTTTCTATTACTGGTATAATTAGGATGGTCTACTATAACTGGTATAATCGGGATGGTCTACTATAACTGGTATAATCAGGATGGTCTACTATAACTGGTATAATCAGGATGGTCTACTATAACTGGTATAATCGGGATGGTCTACTATAACTGGTATAATCGGGATGGTCAACTATAACTGGTATAATCTCAGTTTAACTAGTAAAAATATCTTTACTGATAAGCCTGTCAAAGTGTCTTCTGTATAATCTATTTCTATATACAGCATCGCCTATAATGTTTCATCCTAAGTATTATAGATATTTGTATGTATATAATTATGTATAGAAGTTAGGAAGTATTATTATCTTTGTCAATTGTCTATAACTGGACAGACATTTAGAGATACGAAGCATAATTAATGGGAAAAAAAAAGTTGGTGCCAAAGTGTTATGTAATTTTATTGTTTAAGCATAATTTTATTGTCTTTGTTTACCTTTTGAGTACTACTTAATGTAATTAGTTGCACGATAGTTACCGGTAGTTGTGTTTTGGTTTTACTACATGGATTGTTTTGGAATAAGGGACAATAAATCACATGATCAATAACGTCAGTGGCATCACATTAGCTGATTGGTTGATTGCTCTTCGGGTAATGACGTTATCGATGAACGTTATTATACTCCACAGAAACCACCAGAGTTTCTAATGCACAATAGATATATAACCTAATGCACATCTATATATATTTTTTATAAGAATCTAGAGAGAATGTTGAGGGAATGTGTTTATATTTTTATAGCAGACATATATCAGTATGCAATTGCTCTCCTGTGCGACCTGAATGACGTGGCAAATGTTGAATGTTCATATTTTAAATTTCTGTAGTTCCTTTATACGACAGAATAATTTTATTTGAACTAAACATTAAAAAAAAATAATGACTTTTTCCTAATAATCATATACCGAAAAGGTTAAATTTAGATAATATAAAACTACTTTATTTCACCATCAGTTAACATTTACTAAACTTAATCTATATTACTTTCAGCATTAGGCAATGATAGTATTTTCAACTAATGATATGGCAATTAAGTTGTATGTAATTATACGTTTCAATACAATATACATGTGATATAAGGTATTTTATTCCCCATGAAGATAAGGAAATAAGGTAGGGTACATTTAGCGTATCTAAAGTTATAAAAATATTCTTGTGTTTTGCCTAAATTCTACCAGTTCGGACCAACACTGTTCCTTGTAGGACCTTTGGAGAATCTAGGGGTTGAGTTACAGTATTAATCAGTCTTCTATGTTGATATAGAAGTAATAATAAGACTGGAGGATATAAGTATAAAGTTACGTATTTGTCAAATTATTATTTTTTTAATTTTCATTCCGTCACATAATTTTCACATAGGTATAATTATTTATATATCACGTATTTCTTATCACAATTTTCACATATTCCTAACTTTATGACATTTATTAGTTATTATATATTCCTTATTTTATTGCCATTATCACACATCTTGTTTTTATTGCCATTTATCGTTGATCATTTGTTTAGCTACTCGTTTCACTAATGTTTCTCGATTACTTGAAATATTATCAATGACTATTTTTATAGTTAATTTATCTCAGTAAATAAGAAAAAAAATACTAGCTAGAAAATAGACAATAAACTTGGTAAAATTTTGGTGATTTTTTTTTTTAAGAGAGGAATTTATAAACCGTGAAACGATATTTAATGTTATTTTATAAACATTTACAAGTTTGTATTATATTTTAGTTTGTTGCCTTTAAATATGTGTTATGTAGATACTGTAGTAGTTATACGGGGTGTTGGAAAAGTCTCTGTGCACCTGTATGTAGAACAATGTGTATAACAATGTAGGTATAACAAGGAACATCTGTAGGGTTAGTTATTACAACTGCACAGAGACTTTTCTAACACCCTGTATTATGTATTACGGTTGGGCTATACAGACATCATTAATATACAGCAAACTACATTACATATTGTAGAAACGTGAACGATTGAAAATAGAATTAGAAATGTGGATTAAATTTTCATCTATTTTATTTTATTTTCTCCAAGAGCATCACACCATAACGCCGCCTCTGACGTGAATGTGTCATAAATAAAGGGAATTTTAGTGTGTTGCGTCTGTGCATAGTGGCGCCACACATCGTCTCTTCCTCCCACCTGATCTGTTTTAAATGTCTCAAGGTATGTGTAGCTCCTAACTGTCATAATTAAGAAGTAAATGTTAATATACGTACATGTATGAAGGTATTTTTTGTCTATTTTTAATTAGATGTTATTAGTAGAATCATAAGATGTAACTCACAGTAAGACAGTTCTCCTCATTAAGTAAATGCAAATCATTATTAAAACACGTAGGTCTTATGGTAGTAATTACTGACTATAAGGTTATCACAGGAACTTATTTCAGTGAGGTAAGGTGTGTATTAGTCCTGGAGTCTAGGTAATACTGTATCCTTAACCATATCATACGGGTGCACTATAAGGCCTAGTTATGGTTTCACTCTTAAGTAGTACAGGAGATCGTCAGTACTAGTAAAATATTAGATTACTGTTATGTATTTCAGCAGAATATATATTGTGGTGTTCGTATGCATGGTCATTCATAACGTGTACATCAACGTGTAAAGTGAAGAAAAAATATTCATTAATATTTGAAGTGTGCATGAAATCTGTGAGTCGGTACAACCACCATACTGCGTGTCGCCCTTGTAGTGGCTGGTGGTGCTCCCGCCCCGCCCCGCACCGCCGTCACCCGACACCTATTCTGTTAACCAGCGGCCTGAAAAACCAACACATTATAATCTCTCGCGCCTCCTACCAGCTTCAAAAGATGTATTTGAGGGTGAATTTATATGGAGAGTTCAGCCCTTGTTGTGGGTTGTCTTAGAGGCGGTTTTGAGTCGCCAGAATCACGGGGTTTGTCCTCCGGTGCGTGGGTAATCAAGTGCCCATCAGTTTAACATCAATTGGTCTTTGATATATGTCACTGGGACGTACACACCGAGGCCAGATACAAGCTGAATTTGCTCTTATGTCTTCACCGTATAAGGACATAATTTGTGCTCTGTAATTCGTCCTGTTTATGCCCTTAAAGCCAGTGCATGAACGCTTGTCAGTTATCCTTTTCACGCCAGCAACAAATGGCATCAGTAAGGAAGCTGCTGGCGGCTGGTCGCTGAGGCACATATAAAAATGTTTCTTTTTCACGCGTGGTCGTTCAAAAACACATACGTTGTAGTGAGGGGAATAATCGCCAAGTGTTGTGTTTTATAAAGTTCTGTGGGATTATCTGCTTGTTACTCTCAGAGATTCGTACGATAAATATTTCCCCTCACTGATGATAAAAGAATGATGCACCTGACTTAACTAAAACACTAAAATATCGTAAAATAACATAAATAATACTGAACTCTGAACTCAATTCATCAGACAAAAATTAAGAAGATAATTGTTTATAAAATGTGCCATAACCGTAACTGGTGTCAAGTTAACATGTCTGGTAATCTCGATATAATATTAACGTTACTTTTTACGTATTTTTTGTATTTTATCATAAGTTAATCAGTTAGTTTCATTCTTTCATCATGAGCTACGACGAACCTTAGTGACTCCTACTCCTGGGCTACAGAAACCCATTAATGATTGATTACGTCACAACCTAAGCATATTGCCCCACATTCGATCACTGAAGATTGAGAAAT